CCGTTGTTGTTTTGAGTTTTGATCATTTTAGAAGTGGATTTATAGGTTGTTATAACTTAATACCTGATTGGTTTTGTCACTGTACCTTTTAAAAACATCTGTGGTCACATGATGCAGCAGGAGAAGGTAGTAAAAAGAATCTGAGAACATTGTGTCCTTGGCTGCGTGGTTCTGACTTCTCTGCTGCGTGGGCTCGTGTTGCGGATCCATCGTTCTTCTACTGATTGAATTGTGTGTAAAATCCTTAGCCCTAGCCTCACACTGGCCTCAGGGGTAAAAGATACATGTTTAAAAAAAATAATATATAAAATAAAGGTTGATCAGATCAAAGCTTTTCCCCTTTTTAAAGTGAAAATATTGAAAAGCTATTGGCTTACAGTACAAAACAATTGTACGGCAATTAAAATATCTCATAGCTATTGTCTTCTCACATCTCCTGCTACTGGCGATTTAGTTCGTTTTTATACCTGACCTTGTTATTTTCATGTGACTGTAATAGACGTATAACGTATTTTCATTGTTTTTTGAATGTTTGATGAAATGAATAATGAGTCTACAGGTGAAAGTCAGATAACTAGAATCAGAGCGATGACTAAAATGCATATAGTTCTGAAACCCTACATTGCAAAGGTGGAACCGGCTCTGTAAATGTATCCGTCCACATGAAACTTAAGATAAAGAAACGCGCAGCAAACACCAGTCCCTCCTTCTTCCTTCTAATAAAAAAAGAAGAAAAAAAACGGCGCTAACACTTTCTCTATAAAAAAATCCATTATCAAGGATTATTGATTGACAACGTACTTCTTTGCAGATTAAACCACCAGGGAAAAGTGGAACGTAGTTGGCGTGGATAACGATTTTTTTGACAAAAGCAACATGGTCAAAACCGGGGTTTATATTACTTCATATGGGAAGCAAAAAAAACTTTAAGGGAAGAAGCATTGAGAAGCAAGTTTCAGAAAAGCACCTGTACCCGAAATTAATCAATTCCCGACCTCTGCCTCTCATTTAGCCGCTATCGGCCACTGACCACAGCAGACGCTGGAGCAAGAATATTGCTGAGAAACATGTTTCTGACAGGTGCACGGCCACAGTCAGAAGCTTTTGATCATGTGAGATCAGCGGAAACACACTGTGCACAAAGGTCATTACAATTGTCCCATATTTCCCCATTTTAAAAAAATAATTTAGGAATAGATGTACTGCTCTGAGAGTCACAATAAACACTTTTTTTATGATGCACCACTACAACCAGCCACAAACCTACATGCGGTGGATTGACAGCTGAACAGACCAATTTCTAAAAAAACATCTGAAAAATGCTTGGTTTTCTGCAGTTGTATTGTATAACCATATAATTGTGTGTAAAATTCGTAGGCATTGAAGCAAGGTTTACATGCTGAGCAATAATTACATCTGCCATCTATCTATACTGTTTTGAAGAAAAACTCTATCCACAGTTTTCCTTCTGGTCAGTGTCCTTGCACAGACACACTGGTTTATTAATGATTTATTTGATAATAATTCATAGATTATTTTCAAAGATTGAGGTACCGTCCCTTCACTGTAGTTCACTGTAGTCTGATTAGTGGAGAGACATGCCATGCACCGTTTCAGCTTGAACTTTAATGAAAATGATAGATACTTTATTGATCCCCGTAGGAGACATTCAGGTGTCCAGTGGCAGCAGAAACGCATCATCTATACAAATAAATAGATAATCTTAAAAATAGCTCTTAAAATGCAACAGCAGAAGAAGTGGAGGAGCCGCTTGGTTCGGACCAGTTTCTCTGCTCTAGTCCAAAGTGAGATGCTGATTACTAGCATTCCTCTAGTGGAATGAAAACACATCTTTAGTTCAAAATACCCCCATAATGAATGACTCAACTATTGTAGTTCTGCTTCTGCTAATGGTTACTCCCAGCCTCAAGGAGAACCATCTATATTGATGAACGACTTCACTTTGAGCTGTTTAGTTCATAACCCTGATGAGACGCTGGAAATTCCCAAAGTGAAACCCGCTGAACTGAAACATTTACCATTACATCAACACATGACCCAGTTGAGTATTGGTTAGCTCTTGTGCTTCATAGCAAGAAGGTCCTGGGAAGGGCCTTTCCTCTATCGCTAAAACATATAAAACAACAAATAGGTGAGGGTTGAATAAGTTTGAGTATGACTGTGGGTCTACAGATGGAAACTAGCTATAATATGGTGTATTGACAGCACCTGTTGTTTTATACATACTTGTCTCTTCTGTTGTTTTGCATTTTTGTTTTGCATATTCCGATTTGAGTTTGAACTGTAGCACTGGGAATCTTTGTTCCTCATGAAACCATGGGCACCTTTGCCTTTGGGAAATCTGTTGAGCTGTCTTTAGAAAACAGAGGGGTAATCTGTGGCCCACAAACTGTTGAAAACATTATACTTTGTCTTGTGCCTTCTGCAAGCATTTTTTTGTTGATGAAATATTTAATGATCAAATATATCCATTTTACACCAGGTGTTTTTTGTCTTACAACTGGATGTATTTGTTTCTTGTATATCCTACGTAATGTTATTGAGATTCTCATACTTTAGCAGTTTTAGTCAAACCTATTCATGAACTATCTTGCGGTAGCACCCTATGCTTTCTATCGTTCAGCTTCCTCATGTTGTCAAATCTCTTATTTCCACATACCCTGAGGACCTTAGAACCACTACTGAATCTCAGCTGTTTGTGCCCTGCCTTCTTGCCACTTTAATCACAGTTGAAGCCGTGTTGCCAGAGCCACGGCTTTTATGTTGAGGACACACAGTTTATAGCCTGTGAAACCTTCAGTGTTCTGTCCAGATCCATCCTATATTAAGAAGTCATTGCTAATCATTGTTGTCACTCCTTGGCTGTAATTATGTCAATCCTCTGACCGAGATTGCTCTCTCATGTTTCATGAAATCTACCTTAACCACGCAACACAGGAAAAACTGAGACACAACCCCAGATTTCTGCTTTCATACAAATCCTCGCCTTTGCTTATTCCCTTCCCTTTCTCCCTCTAGTGGCAAGAAAAGGCCACGGCTGCAGCTCTCTGGCTCTAAAATGGCCGAGCAGCAGTAGAAATGTGAGCGTTCCTTCCTTTCCCTCCCCCCCTCGCTGTAGGCACTGACGTCAGCCCGTCTCTGCACCTAGAGGGCAGAGTTCTTCTTCAGAGCCACCTCCAAAAGTCCTGATCATTGTGTGGTGGACTCTCTTGTTTGGTTGAGATGTTACTCCTACTTCTCCACGTTTCATTGATTGATTCCTTGGATGGCAGGTTGAGGCTTTGAGGTAGCTCTGGCCTCAGCAGTGCAGCTTCTGTGGGCGTTCTGTGCCAAATTCCTTCTTCAAGATATCAGTTTTACCTTGTAGATTACTAAGGGGAGCTTTGCAATGCTCCCAATTGTTCACTATCTTTGGAATTTCTCTCCTTGTTTGGTCGTTACCAAATGAGCAGCCTAACTAGAATTGAAATTAAATAAGGGCTTTGAGCACTTAATCAAAATATTGATTAAAAAACAAGGTTAGGGTCTGTTTTGTTATAATTGTCAAAAGTGGTTCAACACTTTCTATTAGGAAGCAAAGTATAGTGAAAACATAGGAAATGGCAGAGACAGGGGATTATGTGTCGGCTGGATTTAAGTGTATTTTCTCCTATTCAAAGCTTCTGCCACATGCTAAGTTACATTTTCAGTGTTTGAACTAGCTTGTGTTCTTGTGGCTCTAGCTTGGAACAAATCATACCTGTCAATATTGGTTAATTGTCCTGTCCAAAAAACACGACTAACGCCTTTCCTCATAAAGGTCATACTTCGCTCAGAGTCGGGCAATCTGCCAAAAATAATCACTGAGGTTTTCTTTGACAGTTCAAGGAGTCGGTGGAGAATTCTACTGCAAAACCCAACTGTCATTCACACAGAGCATGACAAATTGAAGATGTTTTGTTGTAGTGATCACTTAAAGCTGGGGTACACCATAAATAATACATGTTTTTTATCAACGCTGCAACAAATGATAAAATATGAGGAAATAATTGCTTGAATCGAGTGGTTTTTATCTTAATTTGAGTACACTCTGAATAACTTAAATCAAGATTTGCCAATGGGGATAAAAGCCATTTAGTTTAATTTCAAGAACTGTTGCTTTATTTTCTCATTTTTCTTGTCCCATTGGCAAACCTTAAAACAGTCAAAATGTACGAATATTAAGATACATTATGCAAAATACGACTACTGTGTGACAAAGGCCAAAAATACATTAATGTGAAAACTAGTGATTGAACCAAACTGTTTGACAGCGAGGAACTAGTGACATTGATTTTATACAGAGTATAGTTATATATTTAAAAAAATCCATAAATCAATCAATTTCTGTGTATAGTTTCTGTAAACTGCGGAGTTATTTTGGAACCTGTTTGCGTAGGTCTAAGCTTCAGGCTTTGATACTAAAACTATTATGCTCAGAGCTTGTCCAGAAATCCAGTGTTTTTCTGACTGTATCAGATTCAGAATCATTTATTATTGTATGGCCCAAGTGATCATTTTGTCTCGGAGCCAGGGGGTTTAGAGCACACGTTTCTCACACATTTTGTCAATGATCGTCCAAAATAGTAAATTACTAAATAAAGATAGATTGGCCAGTTCTCAAGGCTAATGTGGCACTTCTAAAATTACTGCTGTTTTCAGACTCAACATTCAAAGTTTAGCTTCTCTGCTACTGGAGTTTTTTCAATTTCTGACTCATTGACCAGCTTGTTTGAACAAAGGCAAAGTCTACAGCTTCCTATGCAAAGTAAAAATTGCCCAGTGCTGTCCAATCTGACTGTTTATGTAATTTTGTAATTCTGTTTTGGAGTTTTTTAATGCGCACAACACACCCCCCTAGTGGTGAAACTTGTTGTCCTGGCTGCCGTGTTGCACTGAAATGGAGGAATGTTGCAGAAGCCAGAAGGAAAAGTTCCCCTCCCCCACTCTACGCTTTGACGTCATGCCTCCTCCACCGCTAGGGGTCTGGTCACGTCTTTGTGAGATCGCCGGGTAGTCCTCCTCACGGTTGTCCACACCTCAATGACACTGGCAGACGCTGTGCTCGAGCCGCGGCTGCATTCCAGAGCCCAGAACCAAACGCAGCTTATGTTTCCTACATGTCTCAGTGATGTAAGCCCTTACCGAAAGCTCTCATGCATCTAAACCCGAGGCCTTCTTGCCGAGAGGCTCCTATGCTGCCAATGCTGATCCCTATTTTCAACACAAAAGAAGCTGCTGTTACTTCTGCTAAACTCTATGTGGAAAACTGGATGTGGTGTCCTTTTATTGTGAGCTGTTTGGATCTTTGCACTGTCTTCCTGTGCCTCAGATAATAGATTTTTAAGCAGCTGTTTGTGCACAAGTCTCACCATGGACCAAAGTACATCTGTGACATGTTAGTGCCATAGAGACTGGCCTCCTGCTGGTGCCTAGAGTCAGGACTACTCATGATGAGGCAGCGTTTCAGATTTATGCAGCTAAAATCTTGGCGTCTTCACAAAAATGTTGCTTCTATGCTGACAATATTCAAATCCAGGTTTAAAAACAATTGTTTAGCTTTGCATACAAATGAAGGATTTTGTTCTCTCTCTTTCTGATGTACTGTAATTATTTATGATTCTAATGCCTTGTTTGATGGAACTCTTTCTAATTGTTATGTTTAGCATTTTGAGTTCCCTTGTATATGAACTGTGCTGTACAGAAATAACTTACTTTGCTTAGTAATTAAATGTTTTGTCAGGCTCAGTTCAAACAGACCAATCTCTATCTATTCTGTTTGCATTCATGACAAATACAATAGAAATTGTTTTGTTTGAGCTTTCCGGTCTTCACTGATTTAGAAGTTGATTAGTTGTTATGAAGCATCATCGTCTCCTCCCACCGCTCACGTTACTGCTTTTTGTCGTGGCTGCGCTGTGTTTTTGATGAAATGATCTTACCACTTTCCTCCCAGGCCGCACGAGAGATCAGAGACTTGGCTTCTGTCCATTGGGATCACCGGGAGCTGTCTGTCAGAGAAACACATCGTATAGAACTTTGTCAATGGGGTCTTAGGAAACCAGAATTACTTCTACTTGACTGATTATCGGGTTGATTGATGATTCCAATTTGGCAGATTTGTATGTGAACAAAACTCAAGGGGAGAGAGATGGAGTGAGTTAGCTGAAGAGGTTTTTGAAGCAGTGTTCGGAATAAAATCAAACATTGCCCTTTACTTATCTGCATAGATTATTTCTTTTGTACAGACATAGTAGCAGAAGTTGCTCAGTTAATTCATTCATTGTGGCATTGAGATTTTAACACTGTTATGGAGACATTGACCTGCTTTTGCATGGGAGACATAGGGAAATATGCACTTTGGTTTTGGGCCTAGTCCTAACCTCCATTAAACTTCTCCCCCTGGTGGTGAACATTCGCATTGCTAATACTGTGTGTTTCTAAAATGGAGGAGCTGCTGCAGACACTGAAGTCATCTCACTCTCCACCACTAGGGGCATCCTCACTGTCCATTCTCCACATGCATGTCTTCTCCTGGTTGGTCTGCTCACACCAGCAGAAGGCCCATCTTGAAGGTCTCAGAATTCAACTAAGCCTGGTGTGGTGTCACTGTCTAATTACTCCCATATGTACAGCTGTTGTGAGTTTCTATATATTTGGGTTAATGTTACATGTTGCATTCTCCCTGCTCCTGTGACTACATCGACCTCCACTCATTCACACTAAGGCACAGGCAGGACGCATTCTCTTGTTTACTTAAGGTTACGGTGGAGTGGAATCTGAATCTCGTTCTCAAACTTCTTCCTACCACGTGGTTTTGCAACTTCAGGCCAATGAGTGCGTCACCTGAGTTCTACTACACAAACATAACCAGTCAAGCGGCCAGTCGTCTAAAAAGGGAAGCGGGCTGCTAAAGCTCTATTGAAACTTCCTGGCATGTCTACACTTCCATTGAATACACTGAAACAAAAGTCACTCTAGCTACAAATGGGAAATTAAAAGCACAATCAAACCACATTATTTTTTTAACATACAAGTATTGCTTATCTTTTGCTATATCAGTATTTCTTTGACTAATGCTGGGCAGTATATTGACTGTTTATACAAGAGATCAATGATTATTCTCATGTTTATCTGCCTTGAACTCCAAAACAAAAGGTAATGTCATCAGCAATCTTTAGCCAAACCTTCTCGATTTTCATAGAAACCGTATTCAGTCTATAGTTAAATTTGAGATTGACTTGGACGTCTTCAAAGATTCTCACTGGTTTCATGGTGTTGAACAGATGATTGATGATTTGTCCATGTCGGGACAAAAGGGAGATTTCAGACTTGAGAGAGATTTCCAAACTTGTCCATGACTTTTAATGGAGAGTTAGTGATGTTTGTGCTGATGCATTCGGCCCTGCTCTCACCGCGCTCCGGAGCTTTCTCTCACACACACTTTATATAACATTTCACCTCTATTAACCTGGAGGTGAAATTGTCTCATGTTTGCTATGAACTTAGGCCCATCGTGTTAGTTTAAATAAAACACCAACTATGGATGCTTTCTCGCAGTAATGTCATGAAAAGACTTAGGTTCATTTCGCCTCTTCAGGTCTGGCGTGTGTTTCTCCACACATAGGTCCACACTCTGCTGCTGCTCCTCAATGTCACTCACTCACTGCTCTTTAGTCTCAAGGCTTCAAAAACCGATCATTTTGAATAGCACTCTATCTGGTTTGTTGTTTTTACCGTTTTATACAAGAATGATACATGTGCTGTTCTGGATGAATGTTATCTGAGTCATAATCATGGACTTTCGCCGGGGTATTTGCTGAACTCATGTCGCCGGCGCTTGAGTGGCTTTGATAAACTGACCTGTGTGGATGCGTCATTCCTTCTCACCTCTGTGAAAAATACTTTACCTGCTTGAAGGCCTATCACAGAAAGCCCATTGAGGGGATTGAGTCTTTGACAGAGTTATGGAGACATGAACCAGCATTCTCATGGGAAATAAACATGTTGGTTTTGGGCCTAGATTCAGCCCTAACCTCCATGAAACTTCTCCCCCTGGTGGTGAACATTCGTACTGTCAATGCTGCCGTGTTTGTAAAATGGAGGAGCTGCTGCAGACACTGACGTCATCTCACTCTCCACCACTAGGGGCATCCTCACTGTCCATTCTCCACATGCATGTCTTCTCCTGGTTGGTCTGTTCACACCAGCAGAAGGTTTAGCCCATCTTGAAGGTCTCACAATTCAACTAGAAGTCTATTCTGGTGTCACTGTCTAATTACTCCCATATGTACAGCTGTTTGACGTGTCTCTTGTGTGTTTTTTAGAACTGCTTCTGTCTATTCCTTTTTTGGTTGCAATTCATTATATTGTTTGGACTGTAACTTTGTTTTAGTTTGGGCATCACACGTACAATCAATCAATGTCTGGGTTAATATTGCACTAAATACATCCTACTTCTTCCTGTGTTTGGTGTCAACATCTGGCCATGTATGAATTGTCAAAATCAATCATTTGTTGCCGGTAAGTTCCCAAACAGAATGAGCCACACTGCTCCACTATTCCCCTCATTCTCATTCTCAACACTCACATGGCTCGCGGGTCAAGTCCATCCCGCAAGACCAAGTTTTGTGGTCCCTAATATGATTTTCAATGATAACTAGAAACTTGCAATGGCTGAAGCCATTGCGATTGACTGCGGAACAGATCTAATGTGGAAATCTGCTAAAAAAAATCCTTGAAATCCTTTAAAAAGCCTTGAAACTGTTAAAATACTTGATAGATATTTGAAACTCCTGAAGTCCTTGAAATTGTTGAAACCTTTAAACTCCTGAAATCCTTGAAACTGTTGAAACATTGAAACTCCTGAAATCCTTGAAACTTTTTTAAACCTGGAAACTGTTGAAAGTGTGGAAACTCCTGAAATCCTTGAACCTCCTGATATCCTTGAAACTGGTTAAATTCTTAAACAGCTGAAATCCTTGAAACTACTGAATGTATTGAAAGTGTCCTTGAAACTGAAAAATCCCCTCACCGCTGAAACAATTTGGTTCCTGTAACTAAGGAAACCTGGTCTGTGGTCATTATCTGGTGGTGGTCTGAGTCTTCGTTTGGGTCTTGGTCTGGTGGTATAATGCAACCTATTAGGTTGCATTATACATGAAAAAACCCTATTAAGTTGCATTATACTGGTTTACATGAAAAAACCCCTATTAAGTTGCATTATACTGGTTAACATGAAAAAAACCCTATTAAGTTGCATTATACTGGTTTACATGGAAAAATCCCTATTAAGTTGCATAATACTGGTTTACATGGAAAAATCCCCATTAAGTTGCATTATACTGGTTTACATGAAAAAAACCCTATTAAGTTGCATTATACTGGTTTACATGGAAAAACCCCTATTAAGTTGCATTATACTGGTTTACATGTAAAAACCCCTATTAAGTTGCATTATACTGGTTTACATGGAAAAATCCCTATTAAGTTGCATTATACTGGTTTACATGAAAAAACCCTATTAAGTTGCATTATACTGGTTTACATGGAAAAATCCCTATTAAGTTGCATTATACTGGTTTACATGGAAAAATCCCTATTAAGTTGCATTATACTGGTTTACATGGAAAAATCCCTATTAGGTTGCATTATACTGGTTTACATGTACAAATCCCTATTAAGTTGCTTTATACTGGTTTACATGTAAAAACCCCTATTAGGTTACATTATAGTGGTTTACATGTAAAAATCCTTATTAAGTTGCATTATACTGGTTTACATGTAAAAACCCCTATTAAGTTCCATTATACTGGTTTACATGTAAAAACCCCTATTAAGTTCCATTATACTGGTTTACATGTAAAAACCCTATTAAGTTGCATTATACTGGTTTACATGAAAAAAACCCTATTAAGTTGCATTATACTGGTTTACATGGAAAAATCCCTATTAAGTTGCATAATACTGGTTTACATGGAAAAATCCCCATTAAGTTGCATTATACTGGTTTACATGGAAAAATCCCTATTAAGTTGCATAATACTGGTTTACATGGAAAAATCCCCATTAAGTTGCATTATACTGGTTTACATGGAAAAATCCCTATTAAGTTGCATTATACTGGTTTACATGGAAAAATCCCTATTAAGTTGCATAATACTGGTTTACATGGAAAAATCCCTATTAAGTTGCATTATACTGGTTTACATGGAAAAATCCCTATTAAGTTGCATTATACTGGTTTACATGGAAAAATCCCCATTAAGTTGCATTATACTGGTTTACATGGAAAAATCCCTATTAAGTTGCATTGTACTGGTTTACATGGAAAAAACCCTATTAAGTTGCATTATACTGGTTTACATGGAAAAAACCCTATTAAGTTGCATTATACTGGTTTACATGTAAAAACCCCTATTAAGTTGCATTATACTGGTTTACATGGAAAAATCCCCATTAAGTTGCATTATACTGGTTTACATGAAAAAAAACCCTATTAAGTTGCATTATACTGGTTTACATGAAAAAACCCTATTAAGTTGCATTATACTGGTTTACATGGAAAAATCCCTATTAAGTTGCATTATACTGGTTTACATGGAAAAATCCCTATTAGGTTGCATGATTACACTGAAGTCCTTGAAACTGCTGAAGTCCTTGAAACTGCTGAAGTCCTTGAAACTGCTGAAGTCCTTGAAACTGTTGAAGTCCTTGAAACTCTTGAAATCTTGAAACTGCTGAAATCCTTGAAACTGTTGAATCATTGAAACTGTTGAATCATTGAAACTGTAGAAATGTCTGAAAGAGCTGAAGTCCTATTAAAATGCATGGGCCTATTAAAATGCATTGCAGAATTCTCAATGCAGATTTTTGTCCGATTGCGGAAAAACCGGAAATCGCTGAAGTCCCAAAAGTAATAGCAATAATCTCCCAAACATGTGGAACGTTTTGATGTATAACTTGTGGAAATTGTTGAAAATGTGAAAGCTGTGAAACGTGTCAAAAAAAATGACGGAATAAAGAAATACAAAACCAATGGTTGACTGCGGAAGGTTCCGCAGTCAATCAATGATGCTTGGATAGTAAGAGGTACCATGTCAATTTTAAACCTCATCTGAAAGCTAACTTCCACTTCATTACTTGAACCTAGCAAGGTATTAGAAAGGGTTTAATATAGAAATAAATCATTGACCCATCAGTATACTATTGAAAGTAGTCCTTTTTTAGTTTTACAATCCAAAAAAAACAAACATCTTTCCGAAAACGTACAGGAATCTTTATGTCAAAATGTATTCACACAATATAGAAAATATACCCACAGATGCAATAAAGGAGCTTCTATACTTTTGATCTCTTCATTTTTTTTATTCCACTCATAAATATTATTCATAACTGCTTTCGTTGTAACTCTATGTGCGTCTGTCCTCTGCCCTCTCATTAGTGCTTGGTCTGTAGAGGCTTTGGAGGCACAAACATGTCACTCATATCACACTGCTGGTGGCATTAGAGTGACAGTCGGGAGCTAGTCTTACATCTGGCTGAAAACATATAAAAACAGTTGGAAAATCAGTTTTGTTCCAATAAGGAGATAGTGTACAGGATTAAATTCTGCTTCATTGTCCCAGTGAGCTGCGTACCCAAGTTTAGAGCTTCAACAACACTGCATCGCCCAATGCCAACCCCAGAATCCTCACACATAGCCCAGTGTAGACATTTACCAATCTTGGCATCAGTGTAACCGCAGCACAGTAACAGATTTGAAGAGGTAGTGACAGAATTAATGCAGCAAAGTCCAGTTCAGAGATATGGAGAGGGAAGTGTTCAGCTATATGTTGATTTGATTTTACTTTTCGCCACAAGGGGCGGGCCTGTGAGTGTGCCAGTTCTTCTATTGACTAGAAATATGCGTCAGCCTGGGTTCAACCTTGTTTCTCTGTCTTAAAATGAGGAAATCCCATGAAGGAAGATGGGATTTTCCTCTGTAGTTTATGGACTAACCCTGGACTACAAAGAACTCCACTTGTTGAAATTGTTGCTTATCAGGTGAAACTAGGAGAGCCTCAAAATATTAATCCGGCTCTGAGTATCCTTGATGCATCACAAGTCACGTAACCAACACGACGCCAAAGTCCGTAGAGTCACACACATACATAAACTGCTGTAGGGGTCTTTGTCTGGTGGTGAAAGCTTCTTCTGTTTCTCAACTCGTCTTTATACTGAACATACCATTTATAACAAAGGGGAAAAGAGCAAACACACACCAGGACTTATTAACCCAGTAATAATATGAATGAACTTTTTACGATTGTGATAATAACTGCATAGATCTGTTCAAAGTCATTGAACTTGACCTCTCATGAATGATATACCAGTTCTGTTTTTTCTCCCTCTTGTGGTGAATCACTGTAATGTCAGGTCCCTGTTTGTGAACAGGAGCATAATGGCTGCATCCAAACTCGTATAGAAGTCTTGTCAGTCCTCTTCAGTCTCCATTACGTCGGCATGTTAAATGTTACATGTGGCCATACAAATGTATACTTGACCAAACGTGGATCTACTGTCTCATAAAAGACACATTCTAAAAGACACTGAAGGTCAAATGAAGATGAGATCTATGCTTTTGTATGTTTTCCGTGAGATGCACAATGACGTCTTCAAAGCTGACCTTCTTCAGAAATACCTGACCACAGATTGATGTCTGCTCTTTAAGCCTCCTGCTTCAGCGTTTGGACAGGCTGTAGATCCAGGTCTGAGGCTGTAGATCCAGGTCTGAGGCTGTAGATCCAGGTCTGAGACTGTAGGTCCAGGTCTGAGGCTGTACATCCAGGTCTGAGACTGTAGATCCAGGTCTGAGGCTGTAGATCCAGGACTGAGGCTGTAGATCCAGGACTGAGGCTGTAGATCCAGGACTGAGGCTGTAGATCCAGGACTGAGGCTGTAGATCCAGGACTGAGGCTGTAGATCCAGGACTGAGGCTGTAGATCCAGGACTGAGGCTGTAGCTCCAGGACTGAGGCTGTAGCTTCAGGACTGAGGCTTCAGACTGAGGCTTCAGACTCAGGACAAATCATTTGCTCCTTTTCGATCCATGTATAAAGGCTACTCTTCTTCAGTCTGCAGCTGTGGCCTTAATGCAGAATTCTTTCTGGGACCTTTGGGCATGCTGCTTAGAATGTTGATGTAATAGACAATATTATTATTATATATTGTTGCTATCTTAAAGTAATTTTGTATTGTTTACCTTGAGTCCTGTCCCATAGGGAAATCTTCAAATCATTTGTATGCCCCATGTTGGGAACCACTGATCTGGAGAACAGGAGACAAAGGAATGAATAATGGCACTTTACCTTGTTAGCAAATTGTACCTTTTCTGCTTTGAAGCAATGTTCAGTGCTGCTCGTCAAAACACCTCATTATAACAGCTCTGGTGTGGAGAAGGCTGCATCATGAGACGAGCATGGAGGGTCAGTAATACCAACATTCTCTTGTGGAGAGTCTTGGTAACATTTGCCTGTCTATATAAAATGGTGGTGCCGTGTTTCTCCTCTGCTTCTGTCAAACTCCTCCTCCGCCACTAGAGGGCAGAGCTGTGAGAAGCAAAAGTCTGTGCTCTCCATTGTCCTGGTGATTGTTTTGATCCCGAGAAAAGACGTTTTTAATCAGCAGTCTCCTGAAAGCTCTGGGCTCATGTTGGACTGTGGATCTCTTCTTAACCCAAAAAATATGTATAATGATTTGTTTAAATATCAAGGCATTCGAGGCTGTGTATGAACAGTGTGTCGGTTTTGGGAAAGCCTTTCCGGTGCGCGGCTTTAAACGGTCTTCTCTGTGTGGTTCTCAGCCTGCTGGTCTGGCTCAAGGTGTCGTGGAGAGGGCTTTATACCAGAAGAAAGTGGGACAGAGTTCAGCGGACAGCACAGAGGAGCAGCCAAGTACGTGAGCAGTGTGCACCTCGGATTTACACCACAGCCTCACGCTTCATCTGCATTTAGAGGCCGCTCTCAAAATAAATACATAGGAGGAGATCAAGTAATGCAATCAATGTATAATTCACTTTTTACAATTCTGAAAATTGAATAGAGATAGATAGATTTTAGGCCAGAGGCATCATTCCTCAGTTAATGATGATAATAATGTTTTGGTTTTACATAGAACTTCTCAGGACAAAGAGTGACTGTCAGTTGTGACTACAATAGTAGTCACAACTGACAGAATCGAGGCAAGTGCACAACAGCAGTTCAGCCTAATTTTTATTACCGTTGTCAGATTCTCACAAAATAACGCTTATCTTTAGATTGGAAACCCTATTGAACTCTTGTGCTATCTCTGGTCAAATGGACACGCCACAGTGATTTGAAATTATCCTAAATATTTTCTTGCGAGCTGAATTTAATGACTTCTTTAGACCCTTTTTTTTTTCATCTACTTTTAATCAGTGCGGTGGGTTATTTTGTCATGGGGATTGCACAACGGTTAAATTCCATGATATTGTTCTTGTGTATACAATTAATCTTGGGTTGTCTCCTCCTCTTCAAGAGTTATAATTATTCAAGGACATTATTCTATTAAATTTAGATTCAATTTATTTGTATAGAGCCCTAAATCACAACAGCAGTCGTATCGGAGGACTTTACAGAGTTGTCAATTCCTCAACAACAGATCAAAGAATCAAACGGTTCGAACTCAGAAAATACAACAATAACAAACACAGAGGAGCAAGTGGTCCACAGGGAGAGGGATGACCACTGTCCAGAAATGTGTATATACAGTATGTCCATAAATGTCCCGGATCATCACCGTCCTTAGACCCTCCAGCATCTGCAAGGAACCATTCAAAAAACTTCAGGGAGGCCCACATTGAGAGATGGACGGAAATATCAAGATATATTGTATCATCCAATGAACAATGTTATAGTTTGTACTAGTATTCATTGGTGGCATGTACAGGTTCAGTTCTTGGTTTCAGCAGGGGACTCAAACCCGCATCCTTTCTGTGGTATAACTTTCTCCTCTCGCGCAGATGGTGACACCGACATCCCGAGCCGATGGAGGAGCCCTTCCCCCGCGGAGGCCCTGCTGAACGGGGACACGGCGGTGAGCGAGAACGGCACAGCGGAGCCTCCCCACGGATCAGTGACCGGGAGCAACGGGCTGATCCTGAGTCAGACGGACGCCAGTTTATCCCCCCGCAGAGCGCACCGCCCCTCTGCACACACGGACACTAGCCCCCCCCCCCCTCCCGCCTCTGGGGACTCTGCACTAAGGACTGACCCCCCCTCGGAACCCAGGCCGTCGGAACCCAGGCCGCCAGAACCCAGGTCCTCGGAACCCAGGCCCTCGGGCTCGAAGAACGGACCCGCTGTTCCGGTCCACAGGGCGCGCAAAACCATGACTCGGCCTGTCAGCGTCGCACAGAAGGTATCAGCCGCTGTGCGTTCTCAAGAGATATTATTAGATTAGATTCAACTTTATTGTCATTACAATACAATTAGATAATAAAAACTCTAGTGCTAATGACAAAGCATTATTGTAGATTGTCCAGAATGTCGCTCAGGTCTGTAGTCACATAAAGGACATTACAAATGAGATCCATCTTCATAGAGAATCAGATCAACAATCAATCTATTTTTGTACTGCATTAAAATCACAGCAGCAGTTGGCTTAAAGGTTTTTTGCTATATTGTTGATTTACCAATAGCAGATTAAAATGTAAACTATTTTTTTCCCGTAATTGCCCTTTTTTTTTTTTTTTTTTTTTTTATGGCGCGTTTTGTACCGCGTGTATTCAACAACATCATATCAGTGCTATGTGGGAGAGGTTTTACAGTTTTAAAACGTACAGCTGCTTCTTCAAAGATTTCACTTATTGTTATTTTTAGAACGTAATCCCTGAACTGCTGAATACTCCAATTGACCAAGACTTTCTTTGGTCACCTACAGCCCTAGTCTAATTCCTTTTCACTAACAAAGTATTTTCTTTTCTCACCCAACATCCGCAGCTTCTCAACCGGGACGCCAAAGCTGACCAGATGGACACGAAAGACTCGGAGCCGTCCACACAGAGCGAGCCGCTACCTCACCTCAGCCCCACGGAGCAGACATCCACCCCCACCATCACCACCAGGACCAGTGAACCCGCAGCATCACAGACCCTTCCCTCTGCAGACCACGCCCCCTCCGCTGGCCCCACCTCCACCCCGGCAAAACTGCAACTCGGTGAGAAGAGCCACGCAGGCCAAGTGGGCTCTTACTAGCTAGCTTACTTGCTTCTTTATCATGCTAAAGTCAGAGATGTTATACTCAATTCTTGTTTTTTTATTACGCTTAAGCTAGAGATTTTATTATGCTTTTATTTTTATTTTGGTACAGAGTTCTATCTAATAATGACAGCTGTCAATGTGTGTCAGATCATTCCTCAAGTAGTCCGGCCTCTTCGTCTACAACACTGTGCAGTCCAAAAAATGAGCGAGTTTGCGCCTGTCACTACTTCTGTCTGAGGTTTATGGGAGTCCGACTTTCAAAGTACCTCTAGGACAGAATCAAGTCCGGTTCGCCCTGTCAATACTTATTTTATGACAATGTTCAGAAGTGGTTTATTTAAATATTCAATTTTCTTACATCTTATTGGTTTCAAACTCCTTTTGTTCTCCCCCAGCTCCCTTCTCCCTGGGGTCACGTAAGAAGAAGCGGCGGATGGGCACTTACAGCCTGGTCCCCAAGAAGAAATCCAAAGTGTTGAAGCAGAGATCTGTGCTGGAGATGTTCAAGCAGCTGGAACACACCGCCAAGTCCCCCGAGGTTTGTGTAGAGAAGACATGGAAACATGTAGAGGTAAAACATAAACACGGCTGGGAATGATCGGAGAGTGATTGGTTGTGGCCAACTCTCAAAATGCAGGAAAGATGGGGATGCACAAACATGCCAATTTTAAGCTTTACCGGTGATATGTGCTAATATGTGTGTTTAGCTGTTGCCAGAGCAGAGTTTATGGACTTATTATTTTGACTCCACCAAGTTATATTTATCATCAAAATGGATAAAGGTGAACGAGGCGTGGAAGCTAAACTAAAGCTGTTAAACACTTTGTCATTAAATCATTTTGTGACCAGTTAAACAGTCGTCTCTGCTACATAACAACATGAAAACTGCGGCTTATATTCAAGTGCGGCCTATATGTGGACACACTGGATTTTCTTTTAAAATGCGCCTAGAAGTGCAGAAATGACATGACATTGACAATGGAATGTGGCAAATAAAGGCACAAGAACTTTTGGATTTCATCTTTTGCATCTCAATAGTGACTAGTCATTTGATTTTGATTTTAGGCCAAACAAGAAAATCTGAACGGTGAGAAGGTGGAGCACATGTCGGAGGAGGAGGAGTCAGAGGTGGAGGAGTCTGAAGAAGAGCAGAAGCCTCCAGAGGAACCAGAGGCCCCTGTTCAAGAACCCACACAGGCATCTGTCCAGCAGACCCCTGTCCTGGAGCCCACACAGCTCCCAGAGGCCCCTGTCCAGGTGGGAGAGGAGCGGGAGAGTGAGCAGTCTGCAGAGGAGGATGCCGAGGAGGAAGGCACAGAGTCAGACCTGGTACGAGTCCCACTGTTCACAAAATGCTGTATACAGTGCCTTGTGAAAGTATTCGGCCCCCTTGAACCTTTCAACATTTCGCCACATTTCAGTCGTGAAGTGGAACAACATTTATTGGATAATTTAAACTTGAAAAGTGGTGTGTGTAATATTATTCGGCCCCTTTACTTTCAGTGCAGCAAACTCACTCCAGAAGTTCAGTGAGGATCTTTGAATGATCCAATGTTGCTCTAAATGACTGATGATGATAAATAGAATGCACCTGTGTGTAATCAAGTCTCCGTATAAATGCACCTGCTCTTTGATAGTCTCAGGGTTCTGTTTAAAGCGCAGAGAGAACCATGAAGACAAAGGAACACACCAGGCAGGTCCGAGATACTGTTGTGGAGAAGTTTAAAGCCGGATTTGGATACAAAAAGATTTCCCAAGCTTTAAACATCTCAAGGAGCACTGTGCAAGCAATTATATTGAAATGGAAGGAGTATCAGACCACTGCAAATTTACCAAGACCTGGCCGTCCCTCCAAACTTTCATCTCAAACAAGGAGAAGACTGATCAGAGATGCAGCCAAGAGGCCCATGATCACTCTGGATGAACTGCAGATAACTACAGCTGAGGTAGGAGAGTCTGTCCATAGGACAACAATCAGTCGTGCACTGCACAAATCTGGCCTTTATGGAAGAGTGGCAAGAAGAAAGCCATTTCTCAAAGATATCCATAAAAAGTCTCGTTTAAACTAGTACTAGAATTTAATATGCTGCTATCCAGATTATATAACTACAATATGTGTTTGTAATATTTCGGGTGTTCGTTTTGACATGTTCAGATGAATTATGTTAAATAAATATTTTACTTTTATGAACAAAAAGCTGCAGAAGTTGAAAACATAGACACAAGAGCTAACATGATAACCACATGTGATGCAATCATTGATAAAAATGCTAATAAAACCGTTAATAGGCGTTAGTATTTATGGAGATTACAATGTACATTGTGGTAAATAAATCTAAGGCAACCCCAGTGAGACTGGCATAATGTAAAAACAAAAACAATTAGCCTGTAAGCATGTTTTATGATATCAACTAGAGTTAGCTAACTTGCCCAACACTAATTAGCTTGAATCTCACAAATAAGGCTAAGAGGTTAAAAGAGTTGCACACTATTATGTACAAAACTGATGAGAATGTTTATACCTTGTTCAGATGACAGTGAAACCTCCTACAGATTCCAGCCAAGACTGCTGTCCTCTGCTGTGAGATGTCATGTTAAAAGGTGCCACTTCAAAGCCGTTTTTTTTTTTATATAATTCATCTGAACATGTCAAAATGAACACCCGAAATATTACAAACACATATTGTAGTTATATATTCTGGATAGCAGCATATTAAATTCTAGTACTACTTTAAAGTTTGCCACAAGCCACCTGGGAGACACACCAAACAACACCAAAGAAGGTGCTCTGGTCAGATGAAACCAAAATCGGACTTTTTGGCCACAATGCAAAACGATATGTTTGGCGTAAAAGCAACACAGCTAATCACCCTGAACACACCATCCCCACTGTCAAACATGGTGGTGGCAGCATCATGGTTTGGGCCTGCTTTTCTTCAGCAGGGACAGGGAAGATGGCTAAAATTGATGGGAAGATGGATGGAGCCAAAGACAGGACCATTCTGGAAGAAAACCTGTTGGAGTCTGCAAAAGACCTGAGACTGGGACGGAGATTTATCTTCCAACAGGACAATGATCCAAAACATAAAGCCAAATCTACAATGGAATGGTTCACAAATAGACGTATCCAGGTGTTAGAATGGCCAAGTCAAAGTCCAGACCTGAATCCAATCGAGAATCTGTGGAAAGAGCTGAAGACTGCTGTTCACAAACGCTCTCCATCCAACCTCACTGAGCTCGAGCTGTTTTGCAAGGAAGAATGGGGAAGAATTCCAGTCTCTTGATGTGCAAAACTGATAGACATACCCCAAGCGACTTGCAGCTGTAATTGCAGCAAAAGGTGGCGCTACAAAGTATTAGCGCAAGGGGGCCGAATAATATTGATTATGTGTTTATTATTAACATTATCCAATACATTTCGTTAAACTTCACGATTGTGTCCACCTTGTTGTTGATTCTTGACAAAAAATTAAATTTTTATATCTTTATGTTTGAAGCCTGAAATGTGGCAAAATGTTGAAAGGTTCAAGGGGGCAGAATACTTTCGCAAGGCACTGTATACCTACTGTTTACTCACCATGACCTGACTGTCTCCCACAGAGCTCCGGGTCCAGTGTGAAGAAGAAGCAGAAGCCCAAACTGACAGGGGACAAAGCCTGGTTGCGTCCATCAAGGAAACGAAAAAGGAGACTAAAAGCAAAAGGTGAACTCTCCACTGATCCCAGCGCACGCAGACGTAATCATATCAGTAGACGTAATTCTTGGGTAGTGAACGTATCATTTGAAAATTGTGGAAGAAAAAAAAGGACCCAATACGATCCATATTTGTGCTGATTATCTGCAAAAAAGTGTTGTTATCAACCTTTCTTTCTATGTTTTGTTCAGACTCTGAGCTGCCGGTTCAGTCCGTGATCGGCCTGCAGCTCCAGTCGCTTGAGGAGACGGCGCCTTCTCAGCCCATTGAGTCGAGTCAAACCAGTGAATCCAGTGAACGCACTCAACCCAGTCCCCAACCGAGCAACGTGCCCGCCTCAAGCCCCCTGCCCACTGTGGATCCCAGTGCGGATCCCAGTCTGGAGAGAAGAGTGGATCCCAGGCTGGAGAGCAAAGTGGAGCCCAGCGTGGAGACCAGTCTGGAGAGCAGAGAAGATCCCAGTGGACCGATGAGTGAGGACCTCAGAGCAGAAGAGGGTCCAGAGAGTGACCCACAGAAACCCCGTCGCCCCCGCACACCGCCTTCTGATGACACAGAGAAGACAGACGCCAGCAGTAAGCTTTATGTCTGATGAAGATATGTTAAAATAATAGTAGATATGTTGTAGATATGGCCATATCAGAAAGTGGTATCCATAGGAAATAACACAACAGTGAATGCTGAATGTCCTGTGTGAAGTAATCCGGGCTCAGTGAGGCTTTTGTGCATTCCATATTTAATGTGAAAACTTGTCGTGCAGCTGTTTTTGGTCTGTACGATACATCTGTTGTTGTCTAATAAAAAGCAAATAGGTTTACTGCTCTGGCTTCATGATGCGAGCAGCGAAGCAAGGCCCTAAGTAGGGGACTCTGAGGAGCACAGGGACCGGCCTCCTGTTGGGACTGAGGAGCACAGGGACTGGCGTCCTGCTGGTGCCCAGAGTCAGAACTAAACATGGAGAGGCAGCTTTTCAGAATTGTGCTGGTAAAATCTGGAACAGTCTTCCTGAGAATGTAGACAGTCTTCTACTCTGTCATTATTCAAATCCAGGTTTTGTTTGTGCATACAACTCATTTTAATGTACTGTGATTATTTATTATTTTAATGCCTTGTGTGATTGTTTCTATCTTGTTTTGTGAATCACTTTGTGAAGGCTCGTTCTAACTACAGTTGAACCTGGACAAAACATATTGAAATTTATCTTTAGGCGTAATCTTGAATGGCGAAGACGGAGCAGAAACAGGCAGTGTTTCCACCACCAGCTACAGACAACACACATAAAGAGTTGCCTTTTGTATAAACTGTGCTATGCAAATAAACTCGCCTTGCCTGATTACACACTTGTTTTCTCTTCAGCTTCTCTCCAAGCAGCAGTCGACCCTCAGGAGCTGCCGCTGTGCAGCTGCCGCATGGAGACTCCAAAGAGCAGAGAGATCCTGATCCTGGCCGACCGCAAGTGCATGGCCACCGAGAGCGTGGACGGTCAGCTCAGCCGCTGCCAGGGCGCCGTGCTCAAACAGGAAATGATGCGACCGGCCAACTCTGTGCAGCTGCTGGTGCTGTGCGAGGACCACCGTGCCGGCATGTTCGCCCACCAGTGCTGCCCCGGCTGCGGATACTTCTGTCGAGCCGTGAGTAGCCATCACCTCCTCAATCAAATCTCGTGTTTTCAGATTCAATAGAAAGATAGATGAGCACTAGAGTAACTCAAACAGGCTCATTGGGCGGAAAATTAGCATCCACCAAGCAACCAAAGAGCCAATCAGGAGCAGGATCTGGAATTACAAAGACTTTATCAATGATCTAACGAGATGGAACAAGACCCAATCTCCCTGAGACTAAATATTTACCATGTTTATTCTGGCCTCATAAGTTTGGCTTTTTGGATTTTAGATGCAATAATCTTTGCAGAAGAACGTAATTGGCAACCAAGTCCATTTTGCCCGTGTTTGTGATCTTCTCCTTCAGGGAACCTTCATGGAGTGTCAGCCGGATGCCAGCATCTCCCACCGCTTCCACCGCGCCTGTGCCTCGGTGCTCAAAGGCCAGAGCTTCTGCCCTCACTGCGGAGAGGAGGTGGCCAAAGCCAAAGAAGTGACCATTGCTAAGGCCGATACCACGTCCACTGTGCCCCCTGCCCACAACCCGCCCACCCCCAGCGCTCCAGAAGGGCGCGCAGACACCACCACCGGCAGGTACAGGCTCACAGTCTCTTTACCCACAGGATATTAACCATTTATATTCTAATGTGTATATTTGTGTATTCTTTTCTGTCAAATGTCACTCAGATGAACTTAAACCACACGTTGAACTTGAAATAACGTTTTTATATTCTCTGAACCATGACCCTGATTGATTAAAAGTAAGGATATTTAGCGCTCTGATATTTGAGTAAATGTTTTTTAATCACAATGTGTATGCTTGTTTTGGAAAGTGTGTGTAATTGCAAGCCAAAGACACATTGCTGTGATCACTGTGCGCATGATGGACAATAGTCTCTAGATTCTGCATTCGGTTTTCTGATTGGATACTGATCTGTTTATACAATGATGCACTTGAGGATAAATTGACATAACAATGAAGCGTTGCTTTTGGAGAAATGTCCTTATGTGGGCATTTATTCAGACCACGTAAGCTTCGCGCAGTAACGAGGGGCAGGTTGTTAAGGCAAACTGGAGTTTCCCCCGCAAATGAAGGTATCTGATTGGTCAATCCGTAACTGATTCGTTCATATCTGGATTTACAAAGACGATATCAAAATATAAACACCAGGATCGCAGAGAGCGCTAAACCACAGATTTTTTTTAAGCTCGAAATGGTCTGACACAAATGGTTACTGATCTAGAGGAGGTTTGCATTGTCCAGCTGTATACGGTCCATGCCTTTGACAGTATAGACGTCTGTTCTTGTGCAGCGTCTCTCGTCTGCCCCCGGAGGCCGAGCTGTGTACTGCAGACAGCTCTCTCTCAGTGCGCTCGGCCTTGGACTCCGCTGTGCCCACCCTGTCCCGCTCCTCGTCGGTGCAGAGCGGGACAGAGGGGCCCTTCTCTCAGCCAGGACACCCGCGGGAGACTCTGGAGAGCGTCCTGGTGGCTCTGGAGAACGAGAAGTATGTTTGGAATATGCAGTAGCTCCAACTATAACAACCGGGTTTTACGTGACTTTGTGCTTTTGCCCCAGGCCCAAGAAGCTACGGTTTCACCCCAAGCAGCTGTACCTCTCGGCCAAACAGGGAGAGCTACGAAGGGTGCTGCTGATGCTGGGTCAGTGTCTATGCCACATTCACACAGGATTCTTTGAGCCTCTCATAGTATTCCTGACTATATTTCACCAAAATAAATTATTATTTATATATATTTTTCTCTCTGCAGTGGATGGAATCGACCCGAACTTTAAGATGGATTCTCAAAACAGGCGCACAGCTCTCCACGCAGCCGCCGAGTCGGGACACTTGGACATCTGCCACATGCTGGTTCAGGTGACTTTAAACTGCTCACAAGAATACACAATAGAATACACAATACTACACCATACATATTAAGGTATTCCTATACAGTTTCAATTCTATTCAATTAGATGTATTTTTGTATTGCCCTAATCACAACAGTAGATAAAAAACTGCGGCAGCTCAGGAAAGCCAAGCTGCCTACACAGATGTTGGTGCAGTTCTACACGGCCATCATCGAGTCCATCCTCACTTCCTCCATCACCGTGTGGTTCGCTGGAGCCACAGTCAGGGACAAACAGAGACTACAGTGCATTGTGCGCTCTGCAGAGGAAGTGATCGGCCGCAGCCTTCCATCGCTGCAGGACCTGTACGTCGCCCAAGCTCGAGGCCGGGCTGGTCGTATCACAGCCGACCCCTCTCACCCTGCACATGGACTATTCCAACCACTCCCCTCAGGCAGGAGACTGCGGTCCATCAGGACTAGAACCTCCCGCCACAAGAACAGTTTCTTCCCCTCTGCTGTTGGACTCTTGAACTCTTCTTAACCTGTCCCCCCGCCCTTTATAAAGTCACTTTACTGCCCATCATACGTCACTTTACTTCACTGTACTGCTGTCACCTTACATTGTGTGCACCATGTGCACTTGTATATTGTAAATAGTAACTGTAACTCTATTTTAAATTTTAATTTATTCCTTAGAAGTGTTTTTTATTCTTTATTTTGTATTATCTCTTTCTGACTGTTGCACTGAGCCAAAGCAATTTCCAAGTCTGTGACTTCCTGTTACTTACGTGGCAATAAAAATGATTCTGATTCTGGTCCAAAGGGGCGGATGACCAATGTCCAAATATGTTGATAAAGTCCAGTAGAAAAATGTTCATTGCGGTACCAAAAGTTACCAAAAGTTCAAACTGTTTTTGTGAGTGGGTTAAATGTGGCCCTCTGTGTCATTGAATGTGGCCCTATGCCTCGCTAACAAAATGTACTCTTTAAGATCTTTAAGTTCACATAGTCATCCAGCCAACTTGTGAAGATCAGAACCTCTGGAACTCAAAAGTTTACTTAATTTGTAGCGCAGACAGTCCGTTGTTTTTAATTGTGTCATAAAATTCCATATAGGGCGATTATCTAGATTAAATATCATTTATTTGCCATTTGCAGTAAAACCACATTGGAATAGTGTGCTCCAGATAGTACACACCAGCGCACAAATCTCATCTTTTACTCTCTGGCTTTTACCACGGCATGAGTTGTGTGGTCCTGTAAGTAAGTAACTAGATTGTTTTCACTTCATACATCATGATTTTTTACTTGTTTGATTTGTTTTTAAATATCAAGCTGGCAAACCTGTTTATTTAAATGTGTCACTTTTATCTCTGTGCATCACTTTCAGAAACGTGTCTTTATAAAACGTGCTATATTAATAAAGTGGATTGTGCTAGTCCACTCCAGTTCTGTCAAATGTGAATAAGAAAAACCTATATTTGTCCCTCAGTAGGGAAATGTCAAATCAATTTCAAATCAATAACATGGTAAATCATATTTGCCATGTTACCGCTTAAAAAGGCTGAAATTCAGTCAAACCCTGGTGGTCGGCCCTTGGACAATTCTGGTGAACTAACTCGTTTACCGTCGCTGAAGTTGAGGATAAAGAGTGTTTCTTTTGTGCTTTGAGGCGGGAGCAAACCTGGACATGTGCGACGAGGACCAGCGCACGCCGTTGATGGACGCCTGTGAGAACAACCACATGGAGGTGGTGTGCTTCCTGCTGCGAGCCGGAGCCAGCGCCACACACAAGGTTCTGCACACGTCACACTGAGGGAGGGGTGGCAGAGTGGTTAGCAATCTCGCTAATGAGTAAGAAGGCTTTGGGTTTGCATCTTCTCCCCGTGTCTGCTTGGGTTCCATTTATTTCACCATAAACATTGAAACCTGAAATGCCATAATTCAAAGTCACTATTATTAAACCTAGTCTACAAAACAAAGCCTCATTGATTTTTCAGACGTTTTCTTTCAAACCGAACACCTTGACTCACTTGACTCATTAAATTATATCTAAACTAGTAATTGTTTGGTCAAAATGTGATTATAAAAAGTCACAAATGAACCATAAAACTATTTCCTGTTTTTGGCTCTGTTCTACGAGACCAAACATTTACTTTCTCTACTGTTAATGTTAAAGAAAGGGAAGATATGCAGTTTATCCCAGGGCTAAACTGCGCGTATGAAGAAAAATGGCATTTGCAGTTTTAGTGGTTTTATTCTATATCTACATGTGCATAGATCCGTTTGCTCTAATGTTCTTATATTTTGCAAAAACACATGATAATTATGCCCCTTCATGTTTTACCCAGACTCATGCTGCCCTCGGGTACATTGAGTTTGAGACCCCAGCTTTATGCCCTTATCACAAATACTGCAATACTACGGACATTTTTCTATAGTTGATTTTGTATTAACTATTTTTCAGCTTTTCTGCTAAATGACCAGTGTCCATCCTTTACTGGAGTAATAGAGCGTTTGTGTCTCTCTCCTCAGGACGCAGAAGGGTTCACGTGTCTCCATCTAGCGGCCAAATCCGGTCATTACAGCATCGTGGAGCATCTCCTTTCCATAGGAATCATAGACATCAATGAACAGGTACGACTTCTAAAAGTGATTAACTGTTATAGAAACCTGACATGTAGAGAAATCGGAATTAATATGAAATCCTTATAAGACTAAATTATTAATTCATCCTCAACAGAAAGAGTCTTGTAAAAGTAAAGTAAGAAAGCTGATCTAAATAAAGTGAAAACTAGTGATAGAACCTACGGATTTGAGAGTTCGAAGTAGCTAGTTAGAAGGTAGAGCTATTTGTAGTAGTTTGGAAATCAAGTACCCCAGCTTTAAGTTTTGGACATTACATTTTAGAAATATTCTTAAAAAAAGTTGATTGATTGAAAAAAAAAAACACCCTTTTTTCTCTGGCCTTTCTCTTCCCTCAGCGGCTTTAAGACTATTTAAAATATCTTGTTTTGTTTGTCAGTTTGAGTAGCCTTGTGAATGAACTGTGCCATACAAATAAACTTGGAGCTGCAGTGACTTTTCATACTCTGACTGATTTACGTTTCCAGGACGACGGCGGCTGGACGGCCATGATCTGGGCCACGGAGTACAAACACGCAGACCAGGTGCGGCTGCTGCTGTCGAAGGGAGCCGACATCAGCATCAGGGACAAGGTCAGTACGCCAGAAAACGGCAGGAGATATACAGCAGGAGATATACAGCAGGAGATATACAGCAGGAGATATACAGCAGGAGATATACAGCAGGAGAAATACAGCAGGAGATATACAGCAGGAGAAATACAGCAGGAGATATACAGCAGGAGATATACAGCAGGAGAAATACAACAGGAGATATACAGCAGGAGATATACAGCAGGAGATATACAGCAGGAGATATACAGCAGGAGATATACAGCAGGAGATATACAGCAGGAGAGAGACAGCAGCAGAGACAGCAGCAGAGACGGCAGAGGTGTGAGGACAAAAATGACATGAGAATGGAGCTGGGAAGTGACGGCCAACCTGCTCTGGAAGTATGTTGAAGTATTTCAATGGGAAAACTGCACAATTTAGATGCAAATCAGCAGAAGATTTTGGTATTTACTTTGATGCTAAGCCCATATTAAACTCTTTACAAATAGTAAATATTTGAGTGATTTCATTCCAAAATATTGACCTTTACATGAATAGAAAATCAGTTTTAGAGCTTTCATCACGCTCCCTTTTTACTCATCTAATGGTTCAACAGGGAGAATCTTTAGTCAACCAAAATTAGCTTTGTTCAAATACAGCTCTAGGAACAAGTTTGTTCCCCTAAGACAACTTTTTTACACTTAAGCGATACAGGCTGGTGTCTCAGAACAACTCGGCCTTTAACCTGCTTCATGAGCTAGTCTTTCTGCCGAGGTGTAAACATTACAGCTGAAATACAGCGGGAATCCAAACTGTTTTCTAGCCTGTTGCTTACATGTGTCTTTGGTGAAGACTGTAAAAAAATACACACATGGGACAAGTTACAGATGGTCTTGTTTGGAGACCGCAGTGTGAAGTCCTGTGGTTTTGCAGGAGGAGAACGTCTGTCTGCATTGGGCAGCCTTCTCCGGGAGCGTGGAGATTGCACAGCTGCTTCTAGACGCTCACTGCGACATGAGGGCAGTGAACATCCACGGAGACTCCCCTCTGCACATCGCAGCCCGAGAGAACCGCCTCGAGTGTGTCACGTGAGTCTGCACGAGAGGGAGGTTCCTCTAATGAATGTGTAGAAAGTATTCAATATAAGTAACGTGGATAATGAGGGAAACTGATCAGTGTCATAGTATCCTTAGTGCCCATAGAAATATTTGAAATACCTAGAAAGTTCAACAAAATGGTTAAATTTTTCTTCCAAAATACAATACAAACACATTTTGTCCATAAGTTTTAGGTGTTGTTCTTGTCAATTTTTAACTAAATCTAGCCATGTCATATCTCCTGCATAAAATGTAAGGCAAGCTTGTTGGTATAGCACAGTTGATACACAAGGAAACTCTAGAGTGCTTAACAAAACAAGATAGAAATATAATCACAGTACATTAAAAAGAGTGAATCCTTCAGTTCTAGGCACAGCTAAACAGAACAGTTTTAACCTGGATTTGAACATTGTCGGAGTAGTGTCTAATGTGACCAAAATATTGTAAAGTTCTCCTTAGTTTGCCAATAATCATAAAATTAACTGCTAATTTTCTATTATATAATATATATAATTGAATCGTAAATATAACAATTCAATAACACTGGACCTTTCAGACCCATACACAGCACCTGGAGGTGGGGATAGTGTTTGTAGGAAGTTAATAAGGCTCTCAAACTGCATGTGTGTGTTTGTGTGTGTTCAGGCTGTTCCTGTCCCGTGGAGCAGACGTGTTCCTGAAGAATCGCGAGGGGGAGACTCCTCCCGACTGCTGCACCCACAGCTCTAAAGCCTGGACGGCTCTGCAGGCCAGTCGCAGAGAGCGCAGCATCCGCATGAGCCAGCGACACAAGGTCCAGCACAGGTCAGGGAGAAGCCATCTTTACTCCAAAGACTTATCCCAGGAGTGGACTGACCAGGCTGATTTGAGAATAAGCTCAGCCTATTTCCTTATATGAGTATTTTACTTTCATGGCATTAGCTATGCCTCATAACAGAGGCAGATGTGTTGCCAAGACGATTGCTAAGACAAGTTGGAGTTTCCCTCGCAAATGAAGGCATCTGATTTGGTCAATACTTTTATTTTTCATATCTGGATTTACATAAACAATATCACAATATTAACACCAGGGTCACAGAGATCGCTGAACCACAGATCTTTTAAGCCCAAAATGTTGAGTATGACACAAATGGTTACTGAGCTTGTAAGTCAATAAGAGCCAGAGCCAGATGCAGCAAAACCTCATCCATGAGCACTTCTCTATTGGGCTTCATTGAGCTAGCCGGTTTGCATTGTCAATCTGTGTACGGTCTATGCTTTACTCCAGTATTCAAACATAAAGAGCCATGCAAAAGGTCTATCGATCATACTGTGTGAAGAAGGCACAAGGCTTGTCCTGTTCTTTTACCTTGTAGTGTAAGGCGACCTTGGGTGTTAAGAAAGGCGCCTAAGAAATAAAATGTATTATTATTATTAATAAACCAGGTCTTCATAATATTTCTGGTTACATAGTTAAACCTGGGTGTTGTTTGTTGAACAGAGACATCGCGTTGGGGCAGGAGGCAGTGCCCATCCCCTGTGTGAACGCTGTGGACAGTGAGCTGTACCCTGAGGATTACAAGTACATCAGAGAGAACTGTGTGACATCACCCATGAACATCGACCGCAACATCACACACCTGCAGGTAACGCACACAGACACACATCTGCAGATAGACACACACAAGCTCTGCAAACATGTCTCCTGGATGTGCATTTTAAACTTGATTCTATAGCGATGATCTCTGTCCCCTGTGTCCGCAGTACTGTGTGTGTAAAGAGGACTGCTCCACCAGCATCTGCATGTGTGGACAGCTGAGTCTGCGCCGCTGGTACGACCAGGTAACGGAACACAATACAGATCAGAGAGACGGGGGCGGGACCAGGGGCGGAGACGGGGGACGGGGACGTCCCCCTCCAGCTTTCTTCAGTGACCTGTCTGAGTCACAGACCTAAGCCCTAATATAGTGTAATGCTTTCACATGTTTTGAAGCTCCATCACTGCGTTATTACATAAACGGCAATCATTTGTGCTGGGAGTTGGGTTTGGTGGAGGGAGGGTGCTGCTCAGATGATACTGCAATTTTCCCTCATAAACATGCACACAAAACCAACAGCTCATACACTTGACCAAACCTGTAGCTGTCCAGCATCATCTTACTCCAGTGTCTTTGCCGCAGAACGGTTGCCTGTTGCCAGAGTTTTGCCGCGAGGAGCCGCCCCTGATCTTTGAGTGTAACCACGCCTGCTCCTGCTGGAGGAACTGCAAGAACCGAGTGGTGCAGAACGGACTCAGGTGCGTGATTTTAGAGAAGACACGTTATGCAAAACAGTCTCTGGGGACTGGTTTGGGAGCTACGCTGAACAATGTAAATGTTTTGGTCTATTGTTGTGCTTTGTAAATATACTCAATGTCTTTTGTTTGGCTCTTAATATCTACCAGTTCTCAATGAGTGAAGTGTCCAATTTTGTTTAATGAATCAATTTAGTTAGATCTAAGACCACGCTTTTTTTCCTGTTGAATCATTCATATATTACAGATTTGGAAATTGGCAAATAAGTCAATACAAGCAGGAGGCAAAACTTAATAGCTAGCAAGTCCTAGCTCTTCTGTTCTAGCTCCTCTGTCCTAGGCCCTCTTTTCTTGCACCTCTCACCTAGCTCCTCTGTCTTAGCTCCTTTGTCCTAGCTCCTCTGTCTTTTTTCCCCTGTCCTAGCTCTTCTGTCTTAGCTCCTCTGTCCTTTCTCCCCAGCCCTAGCTCCTCTGTCCTCGCTCCTCTGTCTTAGCTCTTCTGTCCTAGCTCCTCCTGTCAGCTTGGGGTCACAGTTAGAGCCTGTATGTTATTTCCCCTTTAAATATTATCAAAAAACCACGATTACGTTTATTTCAGCAGTTGAGTTGTCTCGGCCCGTTGGCTTCCTGTTGGGTGGTGTTTGAGTGTTTTTGTGTTTTTGTGGCTGCAGAGTGAGGATGGAGTTGTTCCGGACACTGAAGAAAGGCTGGGGCGTGCGGGCACTGCAGGACATACCACAGGGGACCTTTGTGTGCCAGTGAGTCCCAGACATTTCTTTTTATTTAACATTTAAGCTTGGGATGAGTTGAGTTTAGCACGTACCGGTACATACAAACTCTTTTTATTTGTTCTTTATTAGTTGTGTTCATGTTGCAGATTTGTATTTTAGCAGGAGTCAATACAAGAAGAAGCATTTTTTGAAAGAGAGATTGTCCTGTTGTTTTCTCAGATCATTGTTTGACAGTGATTAGATTCACAGTCACTGTCTGAATGATCTGAACATTGTAAAGTGCTTTGGATGACCTAGGTCTGTAAAAATGCGGCATATGAATAAAGATTACATGCTTACAAAGCTGTCATATTATTGTCAAGACCTCTAGACACCATTAATGAGAAAATACCGTAGTTGATTGGTAGACCACAGATTGACGATAGAGAGGCCAGAGAGAGGCCAGAGAGAGGCCAGAGAGAGGCCAGAGAGAGGCCAGAGAGAGACCAGAGAGAGACCAGAGAGAGACCAGAGAGAGACCAGAGAGAGACCAGAGAGAGAGAGACCAGAGAGAGACAGAGAGAGACCAGAGAGAGACCAGAGAGAGACCAGAGAGAGACCAGAGAGAGACCAGAGAGAGACCAGAGAGAGACCAGAGAGAGACCAGAGAGAGACCAGAGAGAGACCAGAGAGAGACCAGAGAGAGACCAGAGAGAGACCAGAGAGAGACCAGAGAGAGACCAGAGAGAGACCAGAGAGAGACCAGAGAGAGACCAGAGAGAGACCAGAGAGAGACCAGAGAGAGACCAGAGAGAGACCAGAGAGAGACCAGAGAGAGACCAGAGAGAGACCAGAGAGAGACCAGAGAGAGACCAGAGAGAGACCAGAGAGAGACCAGAGAGAGGCCAGAGAGAGGCCAGAGAGAGGCCAGAGAGAGGCCAGAGAGAGGCCAGAGAGAGACCAGAGAGAGGCCAGAGAGAGACCAGAGAGAGGCCAGAGAGAGGCCAGAGAGAGGCCACAGACGAGAGAGAGAGAGAGAGACGGACGAGAGAGAGAGAGAGGCGCCAGAGAGAGAGACTTCTGCATTCCTGTGTGTTTTGAATCCCTCAGCTCGATTAGTTGGCGTAAACATTTCTAATATGGTATTGATTTTATTTACAGGGTTAAAACATTTTCCAGTTTGGTCGCTCTCAGGACTAGTGTGCGATGATCCGAGGTGACCGCTGCTTTGTGTGTTTAGATACGTGGGCGAGATCATCTCTGAAGACGAGGCCGAGATGAGGCAGAACGACTCCTTCCTCTTCAGTCTGGACGATAAGGTCAGAACCACAGCAGCTGCTACGATTATTTTTGATTCGATTGGTTGTTTCATAAGGGATTGTATATTCAGTTCAACCAAAACGCCAATCGTACATATTCCAGGAGACGAGACGTAAAACCATTGATTGTTATCATCATAATTGTGTAAAGCTAATTTCTTGTCAATCTTTAGTAATTTTTTGTCTTTTTTTCTAATGATAGTTAATATGCTTTAAAGCTGGGGTTCCTGACTTTTGGACCACAACGATGAAACAATGTCATAAAATCAATGTATCTAGTCTAGTCTAGTATCTCTTGGCTTCTATCACTAGTTTCCATGTATTTCTGGCTCCTGACACATTTGTAAATCAGCTTTTTCAGAGAGACAAAGGAAAAAGAGAGGTTCACCCTCAATCAGCTCTCGGCCCAAATTGTAAACGAAACAAACGATAACACGATTTGTTAATTTTTCATGACCTTTTCTGTTGGGACAAACATGAATTGTTTTTAAGAAGCAAAAGTTAAGTACCTCAGCTTTAAGTTAACAAATAAGAGTGAGTGCAGGACTACACATGGTACATTCGGGGATAGGGAGTGACTCTAACTCTGGTCACATGACTCTCTCCAGCCCCAAGACCAGTACTGCATCGACGCCCGTTACTACGGCAACATCAGCCGCTTCCTGAACCACATGTGCGAGCCCAACCTGCTGGCCGTGCGGGTCTTCACCACGCACCAGGACCTGCGCTTCCCACACGTCGCATTCTTTGCCAGCGAGAGCATCCGAGCTGGAGAGGAGCTCGGGTAAGACCAGAGAGAACAGAGGGGAATAACCAGAGGGGAATGACCAGAGGGACCAGAGAGGAATGACCAGAGGGGCGGGGCCAGAAGGAGTAGACTGTAGACACTTATTTGTTTCAATGGGACACTGCACATTAATCAAGATGTGTCCATGTAATTATGCCAGATTTAACCATGAAGGCTAATTTCCATCTAGACATTTAAACCAAAATCCAGTTCTTTCTCCTCTCTGGTCTCACTCCATTATCTCGCTGGTCTCTCTCTCTCTTCCCTCTCCTTGTCTTTCTGGTCTCTCTCTCTCTCTCCAGTCTCTGCTCACTCTCTGGTCTCTATCTCTAGTCTCTATCGCTCTCAAGTCTCTGTCTCTGGTCTCTCTGGTTGCTCTCTCTGATCTCTCCTTCTGGTCTCTCTCTGCTCTCTCTCTTGTCTCTCCTTCTGTTCTCTCTTTGCTCTCTCTCTCTTTGCTCCCTCTGGTGTCTCTCTGGTCACTCACTTTGCTCTCTCTCTTTGCTCTCTCTCTCTGGTCTCTTTCTGGTCTGCGAGTATGCGTGTGTAAGTCACCTCCTCTGCTCCCGCACAGGTTCAACTACGGAGACCACTTCTGGGAGGTCAAGGGCAAAGTGTTCAGCTGCGAGTGCGGATCCCCCCGGTGTAAATACTCGTCCGCCGCGCTCGCCACGCTCCCGGCCGACAGCACGCCAGACACGCAGCCGGCCAGCGCCTCACCGGACACCAGCTCGACCACAGCGCCCTCGTAAACCCCAGGAACCCCAGAATCCACCCACCACCTCTGGATCCATCCGGGAACCCGTACTTCAGTCGGATCCTTCGACGACGCTCGGCCTGTCACTATAACCACTGCATCCATTCAGCGTTTAGTAAAAAGACAGTAGACATAGATACAGACCGTGTATTCTGGGGCTCAAAACATGGCTGAGTCAAGTTAGACGTATTAGCTTGTTTGCATGTTAGCTCTGAAGCCGAAACATGTCAACAAGAAAATACATCCAACATGTCTTTCAAAACAGCCACTAAAAAACAAAAGTCTGAATCAATAGTCTACAGCAGGATTTGAACTCTGAAACTCTGGTCCAGTTTGAGCTCATGTTGCGTTGCCGTGAGTGAAGTCCATGGAGTTTTTCTCTTTTATGTGTTTTTAACAATAGATTACAATCAAGTGTTAAACTGTCCAGAGGATTTTCAAACGCAAGCTCCGCCCCTGCTTCCTGATTGGACAAAATTGTTGAAAATCATCTCCAGCTAATCTTACTATCGCTGTTTATCTCAATGGGGAGCTGAATATATTTATTATTTATTTATTTTTAAACAGTTAGCAAACACTATAGTACAGGACCATGTATTTTTTTAAATTGACATAATCTTTGGTCCTTTCTTGTAATCTCCGTAATGTAAAAGCGTTTGAAATCGGACTGTACCAAGTCCATGGATTAATCGATTTTTGACTCTGATTTCGTAATGGAATAATCAGGTCTTGAACTGTAAATACGTAATTGTGGATCAAATAAACAGCTGTGTTACGGCTTTGTCTGTAAGAAGAGTTTGCGTGTGGCGTCTGGGTCAAATATAACAATACTGCAAGAATACTCACTGTATTTTATGATCATGGATGAGAACGATCCACTCCGATTCATTATCAAAGCGGTTGATAATAGACATAGTTTAGAGCTAAAATATTCAGGAGAAACAGCATTTGAAGAACCGGTATGACGTCTGAAGCCACTTTGGACCAGAGTTCTTGAGTTCAGTTCTGTCCTGTTCATGTATTTAACTCCAAAAAAAAAAAACATTTCTCCAAGTTCCCAACCTCCCTGTGAACATGGAGTGGATAATACTGGGTCTGTGGAGTCGCCAAAGGAGAGCCCCCTGAGCCACTACACACCAACGGATTGATCGAGGCCTATAAAGACACAAAATCAGGTCCTTCATTCAGTCTCGATCTGGACCATACGTTTATTCCAAATACAAAATATACACGTGTCACACCTGGTTCCGGCTTGGTTTAGTCTGATTTAGGCCATGGAAGAGAAAACTTCTACTTGTTATGTGTGACAATTCTATCATAAATCAAGTCCCTGTTCGATCCAGGCTCTGTAACGGTTTGAGAAAGTGATGTCAGAAACTTAGAGCAAAAATGTAAATAGGCTGTCAGAAACTTTCTCAAATCGTTCTGAAAAGAAATCCAGCCCTCAGGAAATTTTGATTGGACCTTGCTTTAATGAAAGGAAGGAAAGGTTTTCTGGGCTCCTGCTTCAGAGATGTTTTGTCATTGGGATAATGCAGTTGGAATATTGTCATTTATCACCACATATCTGTCGACTCTAAGGGTGCTTATAGTGACAGGCCTAAACCGCAGCCTCTGGACAGTCCACCACAAAACCGAGGAATCTTCAAATCAAGTTGTGTTTTCTCTTTTATCTCCATCAGCCAAAACTTTTTCATAGGAACAGTAGCAGAAGTGTGCATGTGACGGGTTATCTTTGCTGAGTTTGGAGGCTTCGAACTCACGATTAATGCATTCATATGGTTTTACATCAGTCATTTTGTCACAGACTTTCTCTTGACTATTGTGAAACTCTTATGATTATTTATCAAAGCTTCTGTCCCACCAAGACAAGTCAATGACAAACCTATATCCACCTGCCCTACTCTACTCATCCTTACTCCACTCTGCTCTATTCTCCCCTACTTTACTACAAGCCTCAGTATTATCACTTTTTGCGTCATGTGTTCAATACGTATATGAAAATAAATCAAATAGTTGTGTTCTCAAGAAAGTAAGCTTTAAAATGATGTGCAACATGCCATGGTCGCTAACGCAAACCTCATTCTGCCAATACCAAGATTTTAGGTTGTCCCTTCTCCGGATACTGGTTTGTTGCGGGAAGGTTGCTAGGATACGGTGCCAGATACTAAAGGGTAATGGAAACGCGACCAGGTAGAGAAGAGCCGAGGTGAGCCAAGAAGAGTAGGGCTGGTGGAAACGGGGCTTTAGAACACTTTAGTACCAGCTTGATCCGGTAGAGTAGAGTTGGTGGAAACGGGGCTAAAGTGTCGTCCGTCACATGTTCTTTTATAGTCTTACTAATACGGAAATAAAATTAAGAAAAGTTTTGCACTACTTCAGCACTTTAAGGAGCTTGATTGGTTTTGAATCGAGAAAATGAGGAGAAAAAACGTACTTTTATGTCAATTTCAAAGCTTTCTGTGCGTTTTGGCTGATGGGTGTAACTGATCTGTGACTGTATGAGGACAACATTATTATTTCCTGAATCATTCCAACTCAAAAAAATATAAAAAACGACAGAATTCTCGCCACTGTTTTGTATCTTTGAACCATGTCATCTTCGGACGGAAACTTCTGGAAAACTGCTTTTTAACCATTTATCCACGAACGCCAGGGCATTCCCCCGGACAGAACTCACGGTGGACCCAGCATGAACCTTTTTTGGGGAAGAATTGATGTGAAATTGGCTCAAATTCAAAACCGGTGCTGACATTTTATGATTCAATGAATATAGTTTGTACAATAAGAGGATGTTTTAAGGTTTTTTTTATGTTTCTTCCCCTCCGCTGTAATCTACCTGTATTATGCGTAGCTAGAATATTGTTTTAATCTGGTTTTTAAATGTTGTAATGACGCAGTAGCTGTGTGTGATGGCATTTTGAGGTGGACAGGTTCATTCTGTTACATATTTCTTGTGAAAAGTCCCTCGGATTAGTTGTGTCTTTTTCAATAAATTTACTAATGCATTTACACCGGCGTCTTTATTTTGTCTTAACTCCTGTTCTGACCCGTTAACAACAGTGGCTGAGTGGTGAGCTCTCTCGCTTCTCAGCAACAAGGTCCCGGGTTAGACTCCGCCTCTCTGAATGGAGGTTGCATGTTCTCTGCGTCTGCTGTTGTGCGTGATCCAATCTCCACGGAAGGAAAACCAAGATTCATAGAGTTAAAATCCAGATTAAATCCAAAATGTTTTTTACCTTGTTACAATAAAAGCAAATATTGTCTGAGATTTTCCTGTCTCTCACATACAGATTAATTGTATTTGCCATTGGCAATAAAACCACATCGGAATACATTTGCTAAAGTCCCCAGAGTGCACTTTAGCACCCCCCCCCCCCCCCCCCCCCAAAGAGAAAGCCCCCCACAGAAATATACTGATTAAATGATTCAAATAGATTAGGCCCAGTCCTTGGTCTGGTGTAGGGCTTCACTCCTTATAAGGTGGTAAGATTGTCCTGACTTCTCTCCAATACCAATTCATGCAGAAGAGTCAGAAATCCCCAAATGTTCATGAACCTAAAATCCAGAGGCTGAGAGACAGATACTACTGAGACAAAGCCAGCAGATGCATTTAAGAGCACAGGGACAAGCCATGGTGATATTACAAATGCCTGTATTTGTACGCAGACGGTCCTCTCTCTTGTTTCAATCATTGCGAAATACAGTCCCTCTGCTCATGTTTCATTATTTAGTGTAATTTGGCACCTGTGTGAAAATCAAATGCTCAATGTGACAAAGTGTTGAGTGATTGCATTTCCCAAAATTGTGCTTATACAGTGTCTATGATCAAAATGTTATTTACAATTACTGTTCTAAAGTAACAGGAGTCTTTTGAAAGCGACACACGGCTACTCCTACTCAATCAGAAGTACTGTACATGTAGACCCGGCCCAGGAGGTCAGACCCGTTTGGGAGCAACGTCAAATTGTCTGGTTTTTGAACACATAAGCATTGACGAAAGCAACCAATACAACATGACTCAAACAGACAAGAATCAGTCTGAGAGAAAGTTTGGGTGAGATTAAGGCCGTAGAGCATGGTTAAAAGCTCATGAAGGCCAGAAGCAGCTTTGGTTTTCGTGCCGATGATTGCTCTCTTCCTGATTACACGCCGTCAGGGTCTCTGCTGCTCTGATAAGTGAATGACAGGAAGGACCCGCATTCCAGAGTGGGCTGGCCCCGTGGTTCCCGCTGCAGAGCCCCCCAGACCTGGACCTGACAGAGTCCCAGCAGCAGACCTGGACAGAGACCTAGCTCAGACCTGACACAGCCCCAGCTCCAGACCCCAGCATGATGAAGAGGAGGAGGCCGGTGAGATCCCGCTGGGCTGAGAGGAGGTCCACCGTGGTCTATGGTACGTGAGGAAGATGAAAGAGATGTGTTTTGATAAGTGTTACCGTCAGGGTCAGAGAGTGAGAGACCAGAGAGAGAGACATCAGAGAGAGTGAGAGACCAGAGAGAGAGACATCAGAAAGAGTGAGAGACCAGAGAGAGAGACCAGAAAGAGATAAATTAGCAACAAATTCTGACTTTTGATTGTTACCAAAGTCCTCAGGCTCCACCACACTGTGAAACTAAAGGCTCTTTGGATTGTTGTGGTGTCTCAACCATCTTTATTTCAGGATACTTTATATCAAATGTTTTAGGTTCTTCTACACCAGACAATACTAGGTTTGCGATGTGGTGAGAAATGAACACAAGGCAGCGGCGATTGTATCTTTGACTTTTGAGTCCCTCCAGATCGAAGAAAAGGAGACCTTTTATTTGATTTTTACCATTGTGCATAAGAACAGACGATTTAATCACTTGAGATATGTAATTGACTCCAGTTTAAGATATAGATATTTTAGTAACAATAAGTCAGAACAAATACGTTCAGTTCTTCAAATAATAATGTGTAGCAGTAATACAGATATAACAGAGGTCCACTGTACAAAATATGCAGGTCAGATATCACAGATTTTATTAACTTGTAGGTTAGCCTTTTTTTCTGAACTGTGTCGTATTCTAGAAATATATTGTATCAAAGTGTGTCAAAGCCTCCTGAACCCTGAGGACCCAAATCTCTGGTTAAAACTGCCTATAATTAACTGTTCATTTAAGCTGTTTATATATGTTCCTTTTTAACCTGTCCCTTTGTAAAGATTCTTTGACTGTCTAAAATGTTTGGTAGACAGTATAAAATCCCTTTTCCCAGCGGTCCGGTCCACCACGTTCGGCTCCTGGAGGATGCTGACTCTGGGGGCGGAGTACGAAGACACCTGGGCGTCTGCACCTGTGTGTAAGCCCCGCCCCCAGCCCCGCCCACTGCTCGAGGAAGAGGCGGAAGAGGAGGAGGAGGAGGAGAAGAAGGAGGAGGGGTTATCATGGCAACCTGCTCCCCCCTCCTCCCTGTGTGGGGGAGTGGAGAGCATCGTGCAGAGACATGAGGACGCACACAGCTCAGAGTGGACTCACAGGTGACACATCAGTACAATTACACACAAGCTAAACATATTGTAGCGTAAAGAGTCTGTTCGGACATCTGAATTTCTCCTACGGGTATCTATCTATCTATCTATCTATCTACTTAAAAGTAAAATGTTTTGAACAAATGAGATCACAACACGCTGTTCTTCTTTTAACACAAAAACATGTAATCTTTTGACTTGTAAGAATCTTGTGCTACATAAAAAAACTTGCCTTTCCTAGTTAGAATGTTTTTTTTATTTGGACATTTGGAATGAGAAAAACAAAACAAAAGCAATATAATTATACATTGATTAAGCAAAAGAAATAAACAATCGATGTCCAAAATAGGAGTGGGAAGAAGGTAAAAAAGCTTGTGTAATCCCACCCCTATACATAAAACTCTTCCTTTACCATAAGCAACCTAGCACTTGGAAGTTTTTAACATGCTTCACGAACATATTTATCAAAAATAATGACTTTTTATCTTTTTTAAACTCAAATATTGTTTGACATTTTTTAAGTTCCTCGTCCAATTTATTCCATTGTTTAATTCCACTGACAGCAACACAAAAGCTTTTTAATGTGGTGCGGATCTTTTTAAATTGGAAAAAAAACCAATCCTCTTAAATTGTAATTTGTTTCCCTTTCAATAAACATATTCTGGTTTTGTGCAGGCAGCTGTTTTTTTCTAGCTCTGAATATATATTTTTGACTGAATGAATAATGGGTTTGTGTGATCTCTGTATCCGGCTTTATAGATGATTCTAATTTCTCTTTTGCCGTTTCTGGCAGGTCTGCAAAATATGACATGTTTTCTATTTAGAAGAAGAAGACAGCATCTCGTGATCTGATTTGTCTTTTTCTGTCAGGACAAAGCACATGTAAAATGTATGAACAAAAGTCCAGTACCCCAACTTTAGCCCATAACTCTAACCTAACTCCAATAAACGATTAATTGTATAAAAATGCTATGGATTAGAAAAAACAATTATACCTTTTTTTCTCATATAATTTGCAAAACTTAAAAAAAGACTTTACAACCTCTCACCCCAGAAATATAATAATGTAATATAATGATAATTGTAATGATATTAATAATAACAATACTAATACTACAAATCATAATAATAACAGTAATACTAGTACTACTACTACTACACTGCTACTACTGCTTCTGCTGCTACTGCTACACAACATAACATAATAACATACGCTATAATAATGATTACTATCAATAAAATAAAATAATAATAGACTAAATACATATAAATTATGAATAAAACATATCAAGTTTTTACTGTAGTTTTTACCTATATTTAGTGACGTGAAAGGCCTGCAGTACACACCCTCGCCACCAGATGTCTCCCCAGTTCAGCCTATCTCTGTGGCTTCCTGGACCTGAACAAAAACATATATATTATTTGTTTTAAACTCCAGTAAAAACGGACACACGTGGACGTTACAGCAGCTTTTGCAGAATAAATAGATCATGTTCGTAGAGTGACGTCGCGCCTGCAGGAGACGAAGTGAAATCTGACGTTTTTCTCATTGACATTTGGAGCCGACGCGACGTCCCTGCGCCGCCAGCCAAACACAGGTCAAGTTATTAACACGAGCAAGTGGATTTCCTGCTCCTTCCCCCGCTAACTTCAGGCCATATCATGTTATTTCCGCCAACATTTAGCCTCTACTCCAGCTCGGGTCCAATATTTGTCAAAAAAAAAAAAAATGCAGTAATGTTGTGTTTTTAGAGAGACGAGGCGGGAGAATAGTTACCAATGTAACTATAGTTATATGAATACACTTGGATTATTTGGAAATTACAATTATTTTGAACAGCTGCCAACCGTCGAAAGTCTCGTTTCCCCTGCCCTGCCCAACTCTACTCTACTCTATTCTTCTCTGCTTTACTCTACTCTACTCTACTCTACTCTACGCTACTCTACTCTACTCTACTCTACTCTACTCTACTCTACTCTGCTTTAATCTACTCTACTCGCGAACTATCTGAATGACGTCACTAAGACACGCCCCCGCCGCCTGTCAACTCCCACCCACATGTTTCGGACAAACACTGCCAAAATGAATCAAATACCACTTGTCACTTTAGACGAAAATGATATACCAGGGGCAAAATTCCACCATCAAACCATCAGGGATCATAGTGTAGACCAATTATAACGTTGGCTTGAATGTCGTGGTCTTCCAGTAACTGGTAGACGGTTTGAATTGATAAAAAGATAATGGTGAGGATTATGCTAACATTATCTAGTCATTTAAATTGCAATGCTAGCGCCTTCTTTGTTTGTTTTGCTGTGATTAACTTCCATTTATCAAGTTGTTTTTGCACTATCCACTTTGTAATTAGTTTGATCATTAGTTAGCTACAGTCAGCTGATATTATAATAAATCCATGATCACAACGGGTTACGCCACTGTCTCTGAGAGAAACTATCAGAGCTAGCCACACTCAGTAAACGCAAATGACAATCAATCAACACATTTAAATGTTAATGGGAGAATACATTATACACATTCATAACACAAGTGCACGGAGGTTTTCAGAATTAACTGTTCAGGTTTTCATGACAAAAATACTTTTTTAATGCGACTAAAGCGATCGCTTTTAGGTTAACTATCCTCACTGTTACTCGCCTGCCACGGGAAAACCTTTGGGAACTATTTTCTTTGCACTCATTAAATAAACCTTTCGGCATGAGTAGTGAATGACGTTTATTTTGTGTGTTCAATTGGTACAAAGCCGTATAATAAGCAGACACAAAGTTGAAAAAAATCCCTCTCATCTTTCTTCAGGTGTGAGAATTGTATACTTTCTGGATTAGGACAAACAATACTAATATGGATTGATGGGGGTAAATGGTGTAAAGAGAAAGTTTGTGATAACTACATTCAGAAGAGCTCAGACGGACCAGATACAGCGGTCCAGGTCCAGTCCCAGCTAAACGTAGCTAGGACTGGATCTGGATACTCCACAGTTGGTCCAGCGAAGTGTTTTGAAAAAACATGTGCCCTTTTTAACCTTTTCATGAGAGAAATTCTGCCGACCACAAGCACCCACCTGGTCTGATCTGGTCCTGGTCTGGTCCTGGTCTGGTCCGATGTTGTGGTTTAACGAACGGGTTGAATGTTACTTTCATATAGTCCTTTTCAGAGTATCTGAAATCGCTCCGACAAGCACCATAACTGCAGTGTTTTGTTGTCACCATGATTCAATGATTTAGCCCAAATAAATACACACGCGTATGAGGAGAACACAGTAGAACTCAACGAGTCGGACACAATGTTTGTCCGAAACATGCGCGCATGCGCAGTCATCTGAGCTATTTTTAGCACATTTCGGAAACCGGACAGTGCCCTATTCAGAAGTATCTGGGGAATTTCCTGGATAACCATGCCTTCCAGCAGCACTTTGACCAATCTCTGTCAGTTATAACACTTTAGTACCAGCACGGCCTGGATAGAACCAGGATCAAGAGGGACTAAAGAAAGACCATAGTTTAATTTAAACATGACCAGTGGAAACGCTCCCAATCTATAGTCGAGTACAGTAGAGTAGAATAGAGTAAAATGGTGGAAAGTAACAGAAACAAAAGCACGTTCTTTCTCTCTCTCGCTCTCTCTTTCTCCCTCTATCTTTCTCACACCCCCCTCTCTCTTTCTCATTTTTGTTTACATCAGGTGTTATCTCACCAAATGAAAAAATCCTAAAATCTGCTTTAAAGCTGGACTACCTCAGTTTCAAAACTCCCCCCAAAAAAATCCGTCTTGCTGTTTGTGCACATCTCTCAGCCTGAAGTGTCAAATAGTGACTCACAGGGCTGTTTATTTATTTATTTATTTATTATGGATTGCCCCTTCAGCCAAATCATCTCTTTTATCCAGAGTGTCCTTTTCATCCATTTTGCTTTGTCAAACGGCCACAAAATAAAGGTTACATACAGCCGCAGACACAGAATAGACGAGGCCATATTCACATACAGCACAAACAAGAGGGGAAGAACTGTTTAAAAATCTCAGACCCATCTCAAACCCTGGTTGCTCCTGATACATTTGGATACAGGTCTTCCGCCCCTTATAGACCAACGCCTCTATGTGTTTCTCTAATCTGTGTCCTCCCAGATAAATGCTGTTTTGGTTTAGGGCCAAATATAACAAAAATGAATTGAATTGTATTGAATTGGTCCATGAGCATATGCGCTGACTTGCTTGTAATCTCATTCCAGGCTGGTGGGGGTGTACCCGGAATAAGAATTACCCATTGCTTTTGCATGGCGTCTCTATCCTCTCGAAAACATCGATACAGTATTTTTTTGGACCTCTGTGGACTTCAGAATGCACTTGTTAAATGAATGGGGCTAGTGCCGGCTAACGCTAGAGCAAATGCCTTTTTTCACATTTTCCAGCCCTGCAGCCATTTTGAAAAAGGCCCATAGAAGCCAAAAGTGGAGGTACATTAGTATCAACAGCGGAGACCGGTCGTGACTACTTCTGTTTATGTTTACAGTCTATGGATGTGAACATCATGTTGTATCATTACAGTATGTATTATTTATTGCACAAAAGTCAAGAACCCCAGCTTTACCACAAGGACAACTTTTGATGGCTCCCATTCAAATTAATGGAATTCTAGAAAATCATTTTTATTAAAATTAGATAACTCTTTTGTTTTTTATATTCAATACATGCTAAAACTGTCCCAACTTCAAATATTACATTTTGAAATTGTATGAAGTATTTTATACCTATTATATATTTTTGGATTTGACCAAACAGAGACTGTTTATGTTTCTTCTGCCTGTCATTTTCCTTTTTATTTTTATTAATTCATGCAGATCTGTGTATCACTGTGTCCCACTGCAAATTCCCCTTGGGACAATGAAGTTTATCTTGTCTTATCTTATGAATACAACTGAAATATAGCTAAACTATACTACCAGCTGCAAGTAAACAGTGTGTATATGGTAACTATAGGAGCTGCTCTGAACCAGTCCTCGACCAGTCGTGGATCGAGATCAATTAATAAACGGAAACAGAAAAAGTCACAACCCCTAGTTTTTTGTTCATTTTTAGGCTTTTGCCAAATGGTGGAGATGCAGTTTGATGGTAACAGTGCCTAAAAAACCAAGTGATGGAGACGCCCTGGAAGATCTTTTTCAGTTTCAAACATGCTTCAAGTATTTAGTGACTCAGAAAGTGATCCACCACATTTTTGAAGAAACCAACTTCTTCCAGTCTGTTTCTGTAATTGATCAACTTTCATTCCCCCCTCGTCTCTCCGTGCGCGCAGTAGCAGCAGCTCGCAGGCGCTCCGTTCTCTCATTGGCTGCTTCCTCCCCTCTCACCCCCTCCTCCTCCTCCCTCCATCTTCCCAAAGCTCGCGGTATAAAAGCCCTGGAGCCCCCACGCAGCGAAGCATCACACGAGCACAGCGTCGCGCACAGCCAGAGCCAACCCTGGGAACCAAGAGGAGACGAACTTGCTCCACAATACGCACGCAACTGGTGGTTTTGGATTCGCCGATGTTGTTATTTTTTGTGTGTGACGAAAAAACCCACGATCCAGCGTTGTGATGTGACTAAAAAAAGGCGTAAAAACTGGGGAGAAATCAGATCTTGGATGCGCTGTGGGACCAACTTTGCCTTGCTTTCCGTCCGTGCGTAAAAAGAGCCTGTTGAGACCCGTGAAGGATGTGACGAGCATGCTTGCCACAGTGGCCAAGACGCCCGCGACTAATTTGGATTTTACTGTGTTTTGGAGCGTTCCAGGATGGCTCGTTTCGCGGAAGAGCTACCCAGCAGATATGGAGGGGGTCCCGGTGGCGGTGGTGGTGGAGGAGGCGGTGGGGCTGGTGCCGCTGGTGCCCGGGGAGGAGGTGCGGCGGGCGCGCAGAGGATGTACAAGCAGTCCATGGCACAGCGAGCGCGCACCATGGCCATCTACAACCCCAACCCGGTCAAACAGAACTGCTTCACCGTCAACCGCTCGCTCTTCATCTTCAGGGAGGATAATGTCATCAGGAAGTACGCCAAAAGGATCACCGAGTGGCCATATCCTTCCACAAGTGGTGACAAGTATCAAAGCATATGTGTCTTATCTGTTTGTTTGAACCAGGGACTGCAGCTGTTGTTTATTGTATAGCACAGTTCATACACGAGGAAACTCAAAAGTGCTTAACAAAACAAGACACAAACAATCACATAATCAACAGGACATAAAAAAAGAGTTAGTTGTAATCCTTCAGGTGTATGCTCAGATAAACAGAAATCTTTTAACCTGGATAGGTCCCTCTGGTCTCTAGTCTCTCTCTGGTCTCTCTCTCTCTCTCTCTCTCTCCCTCTGGCCTCTCTCTGGTCTCTCTCTGGGCTCTCTCTGTTATTCCTCTGGTCTCTCTTTGATCTCTCTCTGATCTCGTTCTTGTCTCTCTCTGGTCTCTCTCTCTCTCTCTCTGGTCTCTCTCTGGTCTCTCTCTGGTGTCTCTCTGGTTTCTCTCTGATCTCTGATCTCTTTCTGGTCTCTCTCTGGTCTCCCTCTCTCTAGTCTTTCTCTCTAGTCTCTCTCTTTGGTCTCTCTTTGGTCTCTCTGGTCTCTGGTCTCTTTCTCTGGCCTCTCTGGTCTCTCTTTCTGGTCTCTCTCTGGTCTCATTGTCTCTCTGCCTCTCCCTCTGGCCTCTCTCTGGTTTCTCTCTGGTCTCTCTTTGGTATTTCCCTCTGGCCTCTGTTTCTGGTAAATTTAGGTACCCCAGCTTTACAGAAGTTGCTGTGTTCATAAGCCCTGTTTCCACCAGCCCAACTCTACTCTACCTGGTTGCGTTTCCATCACACTTTAGTATCTGGTACAGCATCCTGGCAACCTACCCACAACAAACCAGTATCCAGGGAAATTCCTGGGTAACTATGGCTCCCAGCAGCACTCTGGACATTTTAAAACACTTTAATACCAGCTCGGCCAAGAGGAACTAAAAATGGACCTGCTACCGGTTAAGCAGGGCCATGGTTACTCTCCCAATTGAGTAGAGTAGAGTACAGTAGAGTACAGTAGAGTCAAGTTGTGTTGGTGGAAACTTCTTGAGCAATAAACAGACTCATCTTATGATGCTAAATAATATCAAGCTTGGTTATGAATATTTCACACTCATATCTATCTCTCAGACTCAACTTAAATGAGCATTATGTAAAAATCTGGCCAAAATTGGTACTGCAACCTCTCCCACTCTCCCTGACCTGCCAGATATGCAGACGAATCCAGCCGGTAACATATTATCTGAATAACAAAACTCTATAACCAACACCATTATAAACCATAATCTATGTCACTAACACGTTGCTCTGAAAAAAAATCTTGGTTCCCACACGCATGTATTTTTGGCCTGGGTTAGGGTTAGGGCTGATCTATGGATCAGCTTTTCCACATAATAAAGTGGACTCCTCCCAGCCCAAAGAGTCTACTAGGGACTCACAGGGCTCATTGCATGTTTTCTGTTTCTGTTGGGACATACAACATGTGTTATTTATGAGTAAAAAAATTAGATTCCCCGGCTCTCACGCAGCCTGCTCAAGTACAGCGCTTGCAAAATTATATAACGAGCTACGACTGAAGCAAACAGATTTTCGGGGGTTGGGAAGAAGCATGTACATTTAGATTAGACCTAACTTCAGAAGGACCTGTTGTCATGGTAATGCATAGAAGCCAGCCATGTTGATCAGTTTGAGACAGAAGTTTGAGAAGGCATGTGTGTCCTGGTCCTGAGCCCTGTCCGTGGTGCTGAAGTGAAAGCTCCCACTCACTGTTCATTTCCATAGAGGCTTCGTTTGTGCCAAAAAAAAAGCGGGACTTGGACCAGTGTGAGGTGTTGTGTGGGAGTTTCCCTGGAGGAGAAAGCCTGTTAGTCTGTTAGTGAGCAGAGTTTGAGGACTGAACCATAACATCGTTTCTTTTTCTTTTGAATTTGCCACAGATTGATGCTTTGTTGTTGTATACAGTTGTGCTGGGTAGTTTACACTCATATACAGAACACAAACAAATACACACACGCACACTCATGAATGATGCAGGAGGGTCTAATAACAGCGATGATCCGGGGAATTTAATAACATTTATGGACACTGATCATCAATTCAATTAAATTCAGTATAGTTTTGTGCAGCCCTAAATCATAACAGCAGTAGTCTCAGAGGACTTTACAAAGATCAGATAATCCAATAGTTTGAACACAGGAAATGCAATGATAACAAACACATACAGTAGGAGTCATTGATCCATAGGAAGCAGGATGACCACTGTCCATAAATGTTAATAAATGTCCTTAAGTCTCTCGGATCATGACTGTCCTCTGACCCTCATACATAGTCAAGGAACGACACAACATTTTTTTAGGAACCTTGGGGAGGCCCATTTTGAGAGAGGTCCCACGAACGGACAGGCTGTAGTACCAGGACTAAAGCTGTAGATCAAGGACTGAGGCTGTAGATCCAGGACTGAGGCTGTAGATCCAGGACTGAGACTTTAGGTCCAGGACTGAGGCTGTGAATCCAGGACTGTTGCTGTAGGTCTAGGTCTGAGGTTGCTTTAGGAATCTATATACAACACGCATGAAATAGCAGAGCTGAAGTTGGCTGGATGGCGGTGTGAACTTGTCTCTGCTTTGGGCTCGTGTTAGCACAATCTTCTGCATACATTTTCCAGTCGTCAGTAGATGCATAGTACTGCAGGAGGCGTTGAGTTTCCATGGTAGTGACTTAGGCCGCCCGGCGCAGCTTGAGTTGTAGCGGCGTCGTCTCTGGAGGCTGATGCTTGGCTGGACTCAATATAGATCTTTAATAGACGGACTTTTGCACTGACCCAGAGAAAATGCATGCTTTATAATGGAGAGAGGTGGTCACCCATCTGGAAGGCTTTGACGTACAGAGAGTACTGTGAAGGAAGAATATGAGATACAGTAATATAAATGGTTCGTCCTGGATACATGTTTAAAGCTGCGGTACCTAACTTTTGTTTTGTGTCCTAAAATATACATGCTGTTTGTCCCAGTAGAAATAGTCTTGTAAAATGTTGTGGGCAAATCAGACCATTCTGTCTTCATCTCATTAGAAAACATGTTTTGTGTAAGAAAGAGCCCTGTGAGTCACTGTTTGACTCTTTGGGCTGAGAGCTGATTTTTCTGTCTGAAAAAGCTGATCTAAAGATGTGACAGAGGCCAAAAATACCGTACATTGATACGAGTGATAGAAGCAACTGTTTTAGAGCCAGGACCTAAAGTACATTAGCCCTGTTTCCACCAGCCCTACTTGGCCCTACTCTACTCTACTCTACTCTACTCTACCCTACTCTACTTCCCTCTTCGCATCCTGGTTGTGTTTCCATTACGCATTAATATCTGGTACCAGGTATCCTAGCAACCCACCCACAACAAACCAGTGTCTGTAGAAATGCTGTAGTAACCATGGCTTCCAGCAGCTCTCTGCCCAATCAATGTCAGTTAGAACACTTTAGTACCAGCTCAGCCTGGATAGAACCAGGACCAAGAGGGACTAGAGAAGAACCTGGTGCTGGTGAAACCTTGATTGGGAGGTTGAGCAGAGTAGTGTAGAGTAGAGTAGAGTAGAATAGAAAGGGGTAGAGTAGGGGACAGTAGAGTAGAGTAGAGTAGAATAGAAAGGGGTAGAGTAGGGGACAGTAGAGTAGAGTAGGGTAGGGTAGAGTAGGATAGAGTAGGGTGGAGTAGTGTAGAGTACTGTAGAGAAGAGTAGGATAGAGTAGTGTAGAGTAGAGTAGAGTAGAGTAGGGTAAAGTAGGGCCGAGTAGGACTGGTGGATTATAGTGTATTTATTTGTACTCTGAACATTCAGTATCTTTACATGAAAGTAACATAGAGAGTTTTAAAACTCTACAGTGTTTAATGCACATGACGTGTCCATGATGTGAATGTTCTGAATGTTCCGGTCACTTTCCTGACCCGGCGCTCACTCCGTTCGAGTACATGATTCTGGCCACGATCATCGCCAACTGCATCGTTCTGGCGCTGGAGCAGCACCTTCCGGCCAGCGACAAGACGCCCATGTCCGAGCGCCTGGTGAGTCCGAACGCTCTGACCACGCACTGCACAAGGGCCTTTCCCACGTGCCGCCATTTTAGAAGAAAGTCACTCCGGAGAGACTCAAACAGACAGGGGTTTTATTAGAATTGTGTATTTGGTGGTTTTTAACTGACCCTGCGGAAATTAGTACGACTCTGAAGGCAATATTTGCGAGATGACGGTACATTAATTGTATGCTGTATGAGAAATGTTAGCCTGGTCTTAGCCGTCCGTAAACTCCAGTCAATTATTATTTCCCTACATGAACTGGGTCTGATCCTAGTGGCTGCGGTTACCTCGATTGTATGTCATCCGACCAATCAGCGAGGGAGGCGGGTATTGTAGCAAGGTGGCGGTGACGTCAAGAGTTTGCGCCAAATTTGATGGTTGTATTTTGGCGGAGAATGCTATTCTGGTTTAGTTCCAAATATAACAAAATTGAAGCCAGAGAAAGAGAAATGTTTAGCAAATGTCATTGCTGCAAAGTTGTTGTGGCTCTACTCCCCACGGGCTCCATTAGTGGCAAAGGAGATGGCTAAAGCCAGGCTAAATGCTAAATTCCTCACTCACTCGTGCACATTATATATACGTCACGGCAAACTCAGATCCAATCGTTTCAATCTGCAAAAGGAGTTAACCCCTCCTACCTGTTAACGTAGCTCAATGGAGCACATCCAGACCGTAGTACGAAATTAAATGTATACAATAGAGTGGTAAGACCAGGCTTGAGAAATTTGGTTAAGATTTGGCACCTAGATTGCAGGAGTGGAAATGAAGATAGAGATTCTGAGATGGGAGCTCGGAGAAGGGTGAAAGAGTTGGTCCTGAAAAATGCGGAGATTGGTACATTTATTTTCAAATTTTCAAATTAGTATTGAGTTTTGATACCAGTTTGAGTACTCGATACTCGTTTCATGTCTATTTACTTTATCCAATAAACTTTCCTTTTCCTCTGGGGCCCCTCAGCGTCTGCCTTCTCTGACTGTTTGTGAACTGATGTATAATAGATGTAGCATAGCCGCGTGTAGCAGGCCGCTCTGGCGTTACGCAAGACCTGTTTTGTCGAGGAAACTTTGAGCTCAAATGAATATAGAGGCTGTCAGTGCGAATGCTCGTCTGCAGCGCTGCGCTCTGATTGGCTGGGCTGAGGTTTGGGGGCGGGCTCTGGTGCCTTCCATCACGGCTGGATGTAGGGGAGAGGTTTGTGTGTGTATTTGTGTGTGAGAGAGTGTGTGCGTGTGTGAGAGAGTGTGTGTGTGTGTGAGTGTGTGAGAAAGTGTGTGTGCATGTGGGATAGAGTGTGTATGTGTGTGAGAGTGTGTGCGTGTGTGTGAGAGAGAGAGTGTGTGTGTGAGAAAGTGTGTGTGCATGTAGGATAGTGCGTGTATGTGTGTGAGAGTTTGTGCGTGTGTGTGAGAAAGTGTGTGTGTGTACGAGTGTGAGAGAGAATGTGTATGTGTGTGAGTGTATTTGTGTGTTTGTGAGAGTGTGTGTGAGAGAGTGTGCATGTGTATATGTGTGGATGTGGGTGTGTGTGCAGAGACCTGAAAACTGGAGTAATGTGGTCGTACTTCCTGGTTCTGGTCAGGACTCGAGCTGCAGTGTTTTGAATCTACTGTTTTACAACTCGTCAAACCTGGAGGAGACAAAAGAATAAGAATAAGAATCTCCAAGTCTGCTTTAGACTCTATACCTTTGGTTCTGCCAATGTTTTTCAGATGGTAAAAACCTGATTATATTACTGATTCAATGTGGCTGTAAACATTTAAGACCGAGACCATTATTACTCCATGATTTCTGTCCTGATTTTAAGATTTTAGGGAGAGACTGGAGGTGACCGTGGGCTTTCATCTGGTACAGTTACTTCTAAAACTTAAATATACAGTATGTATAATTAGTAGTTCCCGCTCTCCTCCCTGTATTTCTCCTCTCCTGTCCGCTTCATTACTCTCTGTCTTAGCCGCACACAAAGGCCTCGCTCTCCTGAATCGTTTCTCTGTTTTCTCTCCGTAGGACGACACGGAGCCCTACTTCATCGGCATCTTCTGTTTCGAGGCGGCCATTAAGATCATCGCCCTGGGCTTCGCTTTCCATAAAGGCTCATACCTCCGCAACGGCTGGAACGTCATGGACTTTGTGGTGGTGCTGACCGGGTGAGTGCAAGTCAAAAGTACTCGAGTAGAAAGTACTGGACAGGCTGCAATAGTCTCAGTATGTAAAGAAATCGTTTGCTAACCACTCAGCCACCATGCCGTCCTTACTATTATTATATGATAATAGAAAACATTGTAGTTGCATAATTAGACAATTAGACCTTGAGGCTCAGGTTGTGGTGCTAATACGTTTATTGCGTTTGAACATGAAACGTTCATTAAGGTTTGATGATGAGATGTGGGCAGAAATACTGCATGGCTCATAGAGATGTGAGGGTGTGACCCCCAGGACCTGAACCCTGGTGGTGATGGAAGCTGAGCTGACAACATCTGTCTGTGGGAGCTGGTCCTTCTCCCAATATGGGCCTTCTTCAGGTTTCTCACTTTTTTCCCCACTGGGTTTTTGAGTGATTCCTCGTTGAAAGCAGGAGGGTCTGAGGACAGTGATCGTCCGGGTCATTTGCCAACATGTCTGGACAGTGGTTGCCCCGCCCCCTATGGACCAATGGCTCCTATTTGTTTGTTATTATGGCATTTGCTGTGTTCAAACTGTAAGATTCTCTGATCTGTTCTTGGCAAATCATCTTTGTAATTCAGGGCTTTATACAAATTGAATTGAATTGAATTGGTTTGACTCTGTCAGAAATCACGGCTCTGGCTGAATAATCTCATGATAAATGTATGTACACTTCTCGCCTGAACACAAATCATATGTTGTGTCGGCCTCATATTCCTGGTAGATTTTGGGGGATTACTGTCTCTGTTTTTTGCGGGGCGCCTCGCTGACACAGCTGGATCCTCTGTGTACCGTCACGCCGCGTTACCACGGCAACCGCAGCCCTTAGCAAACGCCGTATCTCACATCAGCGGCTCGTCTCTGCGTGTGGGTTCCTCCCATCGACACGGACAGACAATGGAAATACTCCACTGTGATCTGCTTTATGTCCCCACAGCCATGGATTATTTCCTGTTTCCATGTCTCTATAGCAACGCTGAGGGGTTTTAAAGTGCAACTATATGATTCAAACATGATCTTAAAGCTTGGGTACATAACTTTCAAATCCATCTCACTAGTTCCTCCCTCTCACACAGGCACATACACACACACATTCACACACACACACACACACACACACACACACACACACAAACAAACAGTATTATTTCCAAGGCTCCTCGAAGACTCTCAGACTTCTCAGCTTTCTTGAGAAGTCTTCTCAGGTATGCTGAGATGTAATGCATTAATTATTTTTTTTATTATCAATACATTAATAATAAATAATATATACATTATTTTATCCACTCCACTTGTGTTTTTAGTGTGAGGACTTTGTTTTAAATGTTGTTTTTTAATCACGATTCAACACAAAAGTTTCTTCAGGGCCTTTCAAACTTTTTTGTTGAGAATCAGATTTGAGAGCGGGTGTAGCCGGTCAGCTACAGTGATGCAGTCTGCAGGATGATCCGATTTACAAATGAAATTATGACGTCGCTCTGATATTAGATTGAGTCCAGTCTGTTTGCTGCGGACAGATGTTCTTTGTGTTGATTGTGGAGACGGCAGAGTTCTCCAGTGTTGTAGTAGTAACAGTTTGACAGCAGTATCAGGTATTTCTTTACAGGGTAGAGAAGATACATTTACCAGGACATGGGCATCCTTTATTGTTTAAAACGGGAACTTGAACCACAATTTATCATATTTCTTAGGGCATATTTCTAATTTGTGGGGAAAGTCAGATTCAGATTCAGATTCAGTTTATTTGCCATTTGCAGTAAAAAAACCACATTGGAATACATTAGCAAAAGTCTCCAGTGTGCACAGACAAATAGACATAAAACAACATTAAAAGACAAAAATAAAACAAATAAAACAGTAAACAAATGTCACTGTGAAATCGATCGACTAAAACAGTTTCAAAACAAGTGCAAATCATTAAAGTGCTCTGTTCACACTGATAACAGCTTGTGGATAAAAACTGTTAGCGTAACGAGATGTCCTGCATCTCAGAGAGCGATATCTTCTGCCAGAGGGAAGAAGCTGGAACATGGCTTTCCCAGGGTGGCCAGAAGAGTCATTGACAATCCTAAGAGCTTTGTTTAAAAGTCTGGATTTATAAAGAACCTCCAGAACAGGAAGCTCACAACCCACGGTCATAAAAGGGAATGATACAATAAATGTATTCTAAATATTCTGAATAAAGTTTTTTCCAAATTAATGGAATTATACAAAATACATTTTAGGTCATGTATTCAGTATTCTGTAACGGAATACATTTTCGAAGTAGGGGGGTTTGTGGGGGAAGCCTTAGCAACCATCCTAGCAACATGTCTGCCCCTGTTGCGCTGTGGAGCTAACGTCGTCAGAACAAATGCCCGTATAAGGACATTTGCTCCAGCTATCTTATGTTCACATCAGCCCCTTCCACATTAACGCTAACGCTATAGTGTGTCCCCTCCTGATATACACATATGGAGATGAATATTATTACATACAGTTTATTGTGGTTTGAAAGTTGGATACCCCAGCTTTAAAATGTTAAAAAGTAGATTTTAAGCGTTGAGATTGTTTTGTTCAAACTCACAGCTAAACCCCGAGATTGAAGGAAACTGCAGTAATTACAAGTCGACACATAATTTGTAATAATAATGCTTTGTGGTGGTTGGAGTTCCAGCGCGGCAGTGATAATGATGCAGTCGCTGGTTGTTATTGATTATATTTGAATGATTGATCTGAAATCGGGGAAAACATGAGAGATCATCAGTCAGACTGGACCCACCGCGTTTTCTATTGATCTTAAGTCGGTTCCAAAATCACAAGGAAAAAAGGCACAATACATGGAGGCAAAAATATAAATATGTGCTGGACCTCCCCGCTGGAGTCTACAGCCTCAGTCCTGGGTCTACAGCCTCAGTCCTGGATCTACAGCCTCAGTCCTGGATCTACAGACTCAGTCCTAGATCTACTTCCTCAGTCCTGGATCTACAGCCTCAGTCCTGGATCTACAGCCTCAGTCCTGGATCTACAGACTCAGTCCTAGATCTACAGCCTCAGTCCTGGATCTACAGCCTCAGTCCTAGATCTACAGCCTCAGTCCTGGATCTACAGCCTCATTCCTGGATCTACAGCCTCAGTCCTGGATCTACAGCCTCAGTCCTGGATCTACAGCCTCAGTCCTGGATCTACAGACTCAGTCCTAGATCTACAGCCTCAGTCCTGGATCTACAGCCTCAGTCCTGGATCTACAGACTCAGTCCTAGATCTACAGCCTCAGTCCTGGATCTACAGCCTCAGTCCTGGATCTACAGCCTCAGTCCTGGATCTACATGGACTGAAGATGTAGATCCAAGAAAAATGAACCGTCAGTTATGATCAATGAAGTGCCCAACCGCCCCACCTTCATTTGAGATCCAGATATTGCCAAACCTCGGAAGCTAAGCAGGGAAGGGCCTGGTTAGCAATGTGATGGGAGACCTCTGGGAACACTAGGTGCCACAGTTGCTGTAAAGTGCCTTACTGTTGCTGTGTTCTTGGTATGTGGTCGGAGTGCCGGATGGCACATACTGGTAGCCTCGCTTCTGCAAATGTGCCTCAGGTAGCTGTGGCTACAGTAGTCGTTTATCGCCAGGGTGTATGGAGTGAAAGAATAATGACATGTGAAGTGTCTTTGAGTGTCCTGAAAAGCTCTGTTTATAACATTTGCATTATTATTAATATTATTATTCCAGCGGATCAAAACACAAGTGATTCTGGAGATGGAGACAAATATAACAGGTCGTTTTTGCTTTGCATCTGAGTAGGAGGTGTGAAGAGTCACAGAAATACCATGTATATATCCTATTAGAGCTGGCTGAATTCAATCTGGGACAAAGAAGAAATTGTGGACAATGGCTTGACTGTCACTGAAATGATAATAGTTAATGTGGGAGGGGAGTAAGAATAGTACTTGTCAAGCTAATGGTGACAAAATCTGACAGGAATAAAGGCTAATCCAAGCGTTAAATCTCAACACACGTGGGCACATGGACCAAAAGTTCAGAGTCGGAAGCTGATTTTTTCAAAGGACATACGCAAAATTGAGTTATCACTCAAACACAGAAACATATTCCGGTAAGTTGGAAATTACTGTTATTTTTGTTGTTGTAGAGTTGGTAAGCACTTTCCTGCTATCAATGTAGATCCAGGACTAAAGGCTGTAGATTTAGGACTGAGGCCATACTTCCAGGACTAAGGCTGTGGATCAAAGACTGAAGCTGTAGATCCAGGACTGAGGTTGTAGATCCAGGACAGAGGCTGTAGATCCAAGACTGAGGCTGTAGATCCAGGACTGAGGCTGTAGATCCAGGACTGAACCTGTAGATCCAGGACTGAGGCTGTAGATCCAGGACTGAATCTGTAGATCCAGGACTGAGGCTGTAGATCCAGGACTGAACCTGTAGATCCAGGACTGAGGCTGTATATCCAGGACTGAACCTGTAGATCCAAGTCTGAGGCTGTAGATCCAGGACTGAGTCTGTAGATCCAAGACTGAGGCTATAGATCCAGGACTGAGGCTGTAGATCCAGGACTGAGGCTGTAAATCCAAGTCTGAGGCTGTAGATCCAAGTCTGAGGCTGTAGATCCAGGACTGAGGCTGTAGATCCAGGACTGAGGCTGTAGATCCAGGACTGAGTGTTTTTTTTCTCCATACCTGACAGTTTCGTCTTAGTCTTCCTCAGAGTGTCGGCTGTTTTTATTTTTGTTGTCTTCTTGCCACCAGAGACAGGACGACAGCGCCATCTGCAGACCGACTTCTTCTGGACATGATCCTGGGTGTATAAGGGTTAAATGGGTTATAGTCGTGAGGGCATATTTCCTGGTTTTCTATTGCCTTTTTGATCCATTGACGTGTTTGTTCTCCTCTGGCTCTATTATATTGTGGTTCTCTTCTTGAATTTATCACACATGACTCACTATGTACATTCGTTATAACCAAGATGGCAACCAAGATGGCTGCTGTATTTTGC